CGCCCCCACCCCACCATCAGTGGTTTGCGAAAGACATTTACAATGCTTTCTTCAGTTTAACCTATTTAGTGCAGGCAACAGAGGAAATGGACTATAATTTATAAACAACAAAAGTAACTACTTGAACTTACTTGTAGCATTTTTCCCATCTCTGGTAACCCATTTTTTTAATAACATGAAGCTTTGAGCAATAAGAGAATTTGGGTTTTCTACTCGGATTTGGTTTATTTCATCCACAGAAAAATTCAGTTCTCTTGCCAGTTCTATAAAGACAATTAAAAAAGCAAGCAAAGGAAGAAAACAACAACAAAAACACCAAACAAAGCACAAATCCCTCAAATCATCCTGTCAGGCTTAAAAATACTACCTTTCTTAGATCACACAGATGTCAACAAAACTACCTGACACAAACTTTACACAAAACAATGAACATGGCATTATATACTCATACTTTAATTTCCTAAGGCATACAGACATAATTTTGAATTTCCATCATCTCTGTGAGCTATTATCATATTTATACCCAGTAAGCAACTTAAACATGGTGAGAAAAAGCTCCATGGAGTCTACCTCATCATTCTTAACTTATATCATGTTTCTAATAGTGACTGTTACTCCTTTGTGAGCTCACCAGGCAGCTTAGCACCAGTGCTGTTGTCTCCTATGGCCAAGGATCGCTGGCTGCTGCAACTGTAAGCTCATGAAGGGCCAGCTCTGCCCATCAACATGTGGAGGTATGGCAGGCATACAGTTATGCAACCCCACACACAGCACCGACTTGCTGGGGCACTGCTGGGCTCCCTGCAACCTCCAGGGCTTTGGGGAAACTGCTGTCCAGATACAGAGGCAGCCCTGAGCCTAAGTGGATAGATCCACTCAACACCTTGGGGGAAAATCTTGAGAGGAGAGCCACTTTGGCTATTTTCCCTATGAGTTTCCGTTTGACTTACTGCAAGAACATGGGATAATTCTTCACAGCTTCTTCCTGTTAGGCATCTTTGCCCAGCAATGCATTGCGTGTCTGGGGAGGCTGGGCTCCCTGTGAATTTGGGAGAGCCTGATGTGGCCTTGCTGCAGCTTTTGGCAAAAGGCCACCTGAAAATGTAATAGTGAAAACTAATTTCAATATTAAAGCAGAAAAGCTTACCTGTCCAGCTAAGTCCTAGGTGATCAGCTACAATTGCCATCCTTATATCTGTCCGTTCACATGGACTCTGTGGACCTGTGATTTACAATTTCTTGATTAAAAAGGTTTTGCACAGAAAACCACAATACCGGACAATAGTTTATTATAAATATAGATTTAATTGGACTAAGTTGCTGGTGCTTCTATTGTTTACTAGAATGGTTGTGTGTCCTAATAACCTACAAAGCAAATTTTTTTCACAGCTTTTATATTTTCACCTGTGTAAAGTCAAATGTCAAACTACATGATGTTGTGTAAATGAAACCAGACATGCTGACAATCTAGCTGTTAGACTGTACACAAGTTGTTCAATTACTGGTGGAAACCACCAAGACCAGATTATCATCTATTTTCTCTACTTTGACAGAATAAATTTGCTGTCACAAAAGAAATCTTTCTATTTCTGAGTTACATGAATTTTTGATTTACATGGATGTCTTTGGCATGCTTCACTAGCTTTCTACAGTACAGGATTTGTTTAAAGGAAGAAAGAAGAGTATAAAGACAGCACAAACAGATGACAATGACAGAATGAAAACTACAGTTAAGTCACTCCACAGGCAACCACAACAGTTCATGCACTAGGATCAACAAGTTGAAAGTTTTACAAACTAGGCTTGATCTCCACGAGGTGAGCCATGAGAGCTCCAGAAACCTGACTGCCTTCATTCTCACCAGTCCTCTTACTCCTCCTCCTCTCACTGTCGGCCTTTTCAATCTTTGATTTTATAGATGCTGCCTCTGTTCTCATGTCTCTAGCAGACTTCGATGTAATGGAAGGCTGGTAAACTTGAGTAGCTTCTGATAAGGATGTGTTCCTTGATGTACTGTCTTCTTCATCATCAGAGACCTCTGACTGCATCTTTTTCTCTTCATCAGACAGACGATCCACAAGCTTTAATGTCTCACCACTAATTCCCTTAAAATATTCAATAGAATGTTTACATACCTCCCTAAGCTGATTTTTCCTTACTTTAACTGTTGTCACGGTGACTGAGGTAGATCTTACCTTTACTGGTAATTTAGAAGGAAGATGGTTTGTTTTTTCTTTTTCTACCTGCTCTTGTTTTGGCAGGGCCGGAGTTCTTCTAGCTAGATTACTCCTATGTGTATTTTTTACAGGAATCCTAGACCTTGCTTCTAGACAGGGAGAAGAATTATTTTGTTTTGCTTTGTCAGGCTTACTAGTCCCTCTCACTTTACTCCCTGTATTGCTTTGGAGGTTATTCTGTGAAAAGACTTCTTTTACTGAGCTGGCCTTTACAGGAAGCTTTGATTTTCCTCTAGCCCCTACCAACTCTCTTGACTTTTGCTGCTCCCCATGTGGTTTTTGTTTATCTGTTACTCTGTGTCCTTGTGTTGTCCCTGTACCTTTTCCTGAAGTGCTTTTTGCTTGATTAGCTTTCTGGAGGGAACATTTTGGTTCCAAATGTTCTTTTAGCACTACATTACAGGTAATATCATCTGTAGGGACAGCAGATGAATCCAAATTGTTGTTGTTATTAAAATTATCTTTGGGAAAATCAGTGTTTTCTGTTTGCCTACAGCTTGTCTGGCTAGAAGCTGAACTCGCAATCACTGCTACAGTTTCATTTTCTAATCCCTGACCACTTGGCATCACAGCTTCTATCTTATCTGTCACTTCGCCAGGGCCATCTTTCTTCAGAGTCATGGTGGAAGCAGAAATTCCCATTTTAATTGGTGTGCGCAATTTGGGATCAACTTTAGAAGCGTTTACTGCTGCCGATGATTTTTCCAGTGAGTTACTACCAAGTGTTTGTTCCATGCAATCTCCACTGGCCTGGATGTTGGGCTTATGTTCAACTGCTGTTGTTTCTACTGGTGTCTCTAGGTTTGTTTCTACAGTGTTGTCCCCTGCCTGTGGCTGTGTGATGGCAGTGATTGTACTTTTATCCCCTTCCCCCTTGTCCCCTGACTTCCCTTCAGAAGTATGCTCACCAATCTGAAAAAATTGGAGTCTTTCTTCAACAAAATCCCTCTTGCTCATGTCAATTGCACCACTGCGAGTCATCTCAAACATCTTCCCTTCATGAAATGGGAAGGGGTTGGGCTCGCTAGTTGGCGTACTTTCATCTGTAGGAGTTCTGGCTGGAGTTGTATCAGGTGTTGTTGCTTGAGATCTGTCTTCCACTGCCAGACCAAATGGCTTAGCCTCATCATCCCTTGATTTAGTCTCAAACACTTCATCGTCACCTCGGTTATTGGACCACGGATCAAAATCTAGACTCTTGGTGGCCACTGTTTTGAAAGGTGTTGCAAATTCTTCATCTACTTTGTAACTGAAATATGTATCAGGAAATACAGTCCTGTCAGGGTGTCTGCCTTCCAAAGTGAAAAACTGTGCCCCTGACTTCTGTTCACTCTTATCTCCAGCTCTTTCAGAAGCGGGACCCTTCGAAGGCACCTTGTCTTCTTCAGGGCCTACCTTGCCTTCCTCCTCAATGACTTCAAGCTTACTCTGACTAAAGCAGCGATCAGTCTGCTTTACAATGCCTTCTGTAGTCCATACGTCCTTTTTAGTTTCAACTGCTGGACCTGCAAGTTTAGAATCACTCTCAGTTAAACCATCATCTTCATCTTGCAAATCATAACCATCAAGAGAGTCAATCTCAGTTGCATCGGTATCATGGGAGAATTCTGCAGTGGTTGCTATGGAACACTCTGTGACAGACTGGTCATTATTATTCCCATTTTGCACTACATCATTCTGGGGTGAATCAAGCCCAACGTCAAACTCATTAGGTTTCCCTAAAGTAGGATGTCCTAACTCCTTCTGTTTCTCAGTCTTTTCAGGGGCTCGGGGTTTTGAGGTTTCTTTCTGGTCATCTTCCAGTTCTTTCAGTTTGAATGTATACTTTTTAAGTGGAACAGGTTGATAGAGAGATTCATCATCACTGGAGTCGCTGACATCTGCTCCCGGTGGCACAGGAGATGGCGGCTGTACTCTTATGACAGGTTCAGCCAATTGGCATTTTTCATGTTCATCTTGCAAGTTCACTTCTGTCATTTCCATTTCACTCTCAGTGGAATGGTGAGGCTTCTTTTCTGACTCGCCTTGATCTGCATCCAGTGGTGGAGGAGGAGGGAATTCAATGTAGGCAACTCTGTTACCTTTGGGTCTTTTGTTAGAGTCCTTATTTATATGGTTAGGTAATACTTTGTCAATGTGTGGTTCCTCAACTTCTGCCTGTTTTACAGATGTTGACTTAGCCTCTGCTTCCTCCTCTGATTCCTCAGATACCTCGGGTATAGGACTGGGCTTGCCTGGAATATAAGCTATTAGTGAGTCAGGTGTTTTAGACGTAAACTCGTAACTCACTTCCTCTGAACTCGGTGTTTCTGGTGTTAAAGGGCTTTTACCAGAGCTATCTATAAAGGACACTTGCTCTAGTGTGTCATCTTCTGGACTGCCTTGGGGAGAAGGAGGTTGTTTTTGCTGTCTAGCTGTGTAAAATGTCCCCCTTGTCTCTTGTACTGTCTTACTCTCCTGACTGACAATTTTTTTAATATTTCCTTGTTGCACCTCTTTCTCATATTGCTTTCCTACTTGAACAAAACTGACATAAACAGGTAAGGTCTTAATTTCTTTTACTCCCTCAGTGCTTACTAGTGGTGCAACTTTATCTAAGTAATCGCTGGCACCAGGGTCAACTAACTCACTCGAAGGAAATTCCTTTCCTGGACTACATTCTAAAGAGTCTGGTGATTTGCTAGGGGATATCTCAGTTTCCTCAACAGGAGGACTTAGACCTATCGAGCTCTGCTGCTTGGTAACTTTTCTGATTTCTGAATGCTTTATTTTTTCATCTTCCACATAATCAATCTGCCTCTCAACTTTCTCTTTAATCACAGCTGATTGGGATACTTTAGCTGAAAGTTCATAGACACCATCAAGCATGGTTCTCTTCTCCTCAAGAATTCTGACTGGAATATGGGACACAGCAATTTCTTCTTTCCTTTTGGATATTTTACCAGCCACTTCACCATTACGTTCCCCCTCTCTGACAACAAATTCTCTGTATAAAACCCTTTTTGAGGGAGATTTTACAGTCAGTTCCTTAACTTCTTCTGAATGAATTCCATTTGCTGCCAGTTTGTGCTCTGTCACAGTGATAAATTCACTTTTTTTGTCAGCTTTAGCTTCAGCGTGATCAACATGGTTTTCTTTTACTGTATCTGGAACCAGCACATGTGAAAGTTTTTCTTTTTGTGTTTTATGGTTAGAAGTTCCAGGACTTTCCCAAGTCCTGTAGATTTTTTTGTCCCAGTGTCCCTTCATTGTTGAGTCTGAGCCATACACCAAGTCTTTTGCCTGCGGTTCTGAAAAGCACTCTAGCGTGCCTTTACTCATCTCAGTTCTTTGTTTTTGTGTGTCTGAAGCACGAAAGTCTTCGATAGCTTTCCCTTTACCTAGAACAAAATCTTCCTGTGTTTTCACCTCTTTCTGTAAAGCTGTGCTCCCATCAGTGAGCTCTACTTGCTTGGCATGTTTCTCTCTGGAATAAAACTGATACACTGGTAACTTACTTTCTTGCAATTTCTTTACTGGAATTTTGGACTGACTGTCCAGCTTTTTTTCTTCTTGAGTTAGGTCCTTACTCCTTGGACTTATACCTTGTTCAAATTTAAGCCTAATGGAACTGAGCTTTGATTGCTTCAGCTGAAATCCAGTCTGTGAAACCTCAGGTACTCCAGTCTGCTGGGCACCTCCTTTGTGTTCCATAGTTTGTTTAGAGTCCTCTGCAGGTTGCACAAATATCCTTTTTTCAGGACTGCTGGGCAAACTGGATGCTTTTCTTTCATCCACCTTGGGAAAGCATTTCCCATCATGTGCATACTGCTTCACCTTAGTCCACTCATCACCAGATGATGGCAATTCAGAGAGCAGAACTTTCTCAGGGCTGCTGCTGGCAGAGCTCTGGCTAGAATGTATTTCTTTGCCATTTTTTTTGTGCTGCTTTTTCTCCGGAGACTGGAGCTCATCATTCAACTTCTCTGTTTTGTCCCGAAAAAACTGTGATACTTCAGTCAGTTTTTCTTCTGCCTCTTTAACAGTCCTGTCCACCCTGTCTTCATATGTCAGCTTTTCTCTACCTCTGTCTAATCTGTCCTCTGTAAAGCGCATCCACATCGCATGTTTTGGGCTACTAACATCTCCAGTGTAGTGCAAAACTGTCACTTTATCAAAGTGATCATCTTTAGACATTTTACCTACACCATTTTCAGATACATCTTTATAGATTTTGGAGAGAATCTCTTTTTTGGGGGCAGTAGCTACTTTTTCTCTGCATCGTTTATCAGACCCCTGTAACTCTGCACTAAGGGGTAGAGCATGGTCAGTAACTGACTCCTCAGTATCAGAATGAGACACATCTAGCTTTTCTGAAAGAAGCATTTTCTCAGCAAACCTGTAAGACTCCCCTCTTAGTTCTGACAACTCATCATCATGGTATTCTATCGAGTGCTGACTCAAAAGCTTCAGTGTTTTGTAAGAGTCATCAGACATGAGTTGAGCAGAACTAGGGCGACTGTCTTCTTCCTGGGACACAGGAGTGTTAACTCTAGAGGATTCCAGATAAGAAGGAAGTGACTCTTCAGCTGTGAGCTCCTCTTCTTCTTGCTGACCTTGTTCGTCTGAACAAGGAAAAGCATCATGTTTTTCCAACTCTTTTAAGTTAATATCTCCCCGAGGTAAGTCTTTCTGATATACATACATTTCTTTTTCTGGATGCTTTTTTGTTTCTCTAATAATGACTTCAGTAGGTTCTGCCTGATTACCTTTTTCAATATGGACTTCTATTATTCGCTCCAGTTTGGGTTTCATTTTGCTGTCCTTCTCTGCATGTTGTGGTGAAGTTTCAACAGACTTGCTAACATCGGAAGTTACTGATGATTTGTGTTCAAACAGACCTGCCAGTTCTTTGGAAGGATCACGTCCAGACTGAAAGGCTTTCATTATGTCATGAACAGACATTGTTTCCTCAATTCTTTCAGACGTGCTTTCAGTGCATGGAGGTTTATGATAAACCATCCTAGTCGTCGTAGTTATATGAGTTTCTTCTTTTACTCGGACACCTTTACTAAGGACACACTTACGGTCATCTTCTTCGCTGTTGCTGGCTTTCATTTGAAAAGCTTTAACCTTCTCTTTAATAGATCCAGCAGGTTTTTGCTCCAGCTCCATGAATGTAGGGGCAGGTTTTGAGGCTGGTAGCTCCTCTGCTTTCTGCTCTGGAATTTCTTCAGATGATGGTTCGTAGCTGCGGATAACGTGAACTACTTCAGTTCTTGTTTCTGTAATGACGGGAGGGATGGGTACATCATGGAAAAGTGGTTTTGGCCCTGTGCTTTCAGCACTTTGTGGGGCAGAAGGTGTCTTTTCACTCCTCGTTTCAAATCCACTGTCAGATAAGGGACTTTTATCTTGATCATGTTGAGAAAAGTCATCTGGAGACTCTAAAATAGTGTCTGTTCCAAAAAAGGAATCTGCAATTTTACATAACTCCTTTTCTGATGTTGAAGGCCTCATGGAGGCTGGAGGCATTTTAAGTTTATGTTCCTGCAAAGCAATAGCTGGTTTTAAAACACGTTTTTGTCTCTCTTCGCCTTCTTTTTTCCCCTCTTCAAACTTGTACTTTATGTTTGTTAGTGAACTGCTACCAATATCATTTGCTAAGTAATCAATAACTTTTGACAAGTTATAATCCTTTTCCGACATGGTTTTAGTTTTAATTTGGACCTTCTCTGGAACAGATATAGGAGGGCTTGTCAAAGCTTGCTGTCTCGCTTCATCAATCTCCTCTGTACTGAACTCTACCCAGTCATCCTCAGACAAGTGTCCTTGATCGCTTTTGGATACTTTAGCTGACCCTTTACTTTCTAAACACACATCTTTTTTCAGAATCTCACTAACTTTTACTAAGTCCTCTTTTACTTTCTCAACAATTTTAAAGGGCTCTTCATCATCAATTCTACCCTCTTTCGATATCTCAGGTTGGAATGGTTTGTCCTCTGTGACATCTGTTTGCAATATTGCAGTCATTCTCATTAGATCCTCTTTCATTTCAGCAACATCTTTCAGTATCTCCTGACTGGAGGATAAAGAAGATGGTGTGGACAATTTGAGAGCAGAGGGTGCTAAAAACAAAGATGATTTTATTGGAGATGAAGTTCGATTAAAGGGAGGCTGTGTGCGTGCCTCTGTAGTCAATGTTTTAATAGGCGACAGTAATGCAGCAGCTGATTTTGTAAGTGAAGACGACTCTGGGAGCTTCTTTAATGCTGGTTCAGACAAAACATTGACTACAGAATATACCGGCACTGTTATTGTTGATGAAGTTACTGATGAGGTAGTTGCAGATATTGACCCCAGGGCTGTGTACAAAGCACCTGCAGGAGGAGTTCTTATTGACTGGAAAGCTGATGGCGCTGAAGATACAAATGACCTGAGTGGAGAAAATGACATTGTTGTAGCTGTTGAAAACACTCTCTCAGCCGTGTCAGCAACTGTGTTAGCAGCACAGCTTGCAGAATGTGCAGCTGCAGCAATCTTGTCTTGAAAAACAGCTGCAGCTTTAGATCCATTTATTAAGTTGGCAGAAGATGGGTATTTCAGAGGTGACACAGATCCATTAAGCAATGGTACATCTGTGTGCCCAGCTACATGTTTTGCTGGCGACGAGAGAGTCGAGGCCATCATGACTTTAGAGGATGAAACAGCATCAACTGCTGACTTAACAGGTGACACCACTGACTTTAGAGGGGACGATAAAAGTGAAGATGCTGATGTGATGACCGATTTAAGTGGCAAACTTGAAGAGTACATGTTAATGTTGGATTTGGGGGATGCTGGAGGCGTCATGGTTATGGACGATCTCTCTAAGAGAGATCCTGCTGTAGTCACTGGAGATGTCCGAGAGGGGAATGTGGTAGTGGACGCCAGCCCTTTTAGACTAGCAGCTTCTGTGACTGCGGGAGCTCTGACGAAAGAGCCTGAAGTAACCTGTATACTGTATGGAGGCTGTGATACCACAGTTTTTATTGGTGAAGAGATTGTCCGAAATGATCTAATCGGAGATGCTACATCACTAACAGATTTAACTGAAGACGTGGTAGAAGCTCCTAATGTGGATTTGATTGGAGAAGCAGAAGAAACAGACCATATTGATTTTAATGGGGAAGCTGTAGGAGTGTTAGAGGAAGAGCTTGATAAGGAAGTGAAGCCTGATTTGGTTTGCCCGGGCACTGTAATTGGAGCTGTTGTCCATGATTGATATGGCCGTGTTGAAAAGAATGGCTTGTATGAGTAAGTAGCAGGTAGGGATCTTGTTGCTCCTGCACTCCGTTCAACTGTTTCTTAAATTGTTAAATTAAAATCAAACACAAAATCAACAAAAATGGTTGAAAAACAGAGAGACCAGAGAAGAAAAATTGGTCAGTAAACGTTGTAATATTACAAAAAGCAAGTACAATTGTTTGCATGAGTTAGGATGAAGGAGGCAAAAGAAGATTCAAAAGGGAAAGAAAAAAATAGGAATGAGCCATATACTGATGACTGGTCCAAACCAAAAAGCAACATGAAATGAAAGACAGAAAGCACAAAGCAACCAAATCAGCAAACAATGAAGAACAGAAAACACAAAGAAGGAATCCATAAGGTAAAAATAAAACCACATAAAAATTTCTTCTCTTACTTCCTATTGACTTTCTGATGTGTTACTTCTGAAATATTCATAGCAGTTCTATTTTGCCTGTTTAGGTCTGTCTCTGCTTTGTGCAACTATTAGAATTATCCTTTAATAATTTCTGTTGTTGTTGTTCTATTCATATATTGAACCTATACAAAATATAAACTTGTGTAAAATGGCATTATATAGCTAAAATCTCTTTTAAAACCACTCAGAACTATTTCATGCAGAACCCAAAATTCCTTTAAGTGACAGGCAATTGATGTGCAAACTGTGAAGCAACTGGAATAAATTCAAATCTCTATCTCCCATGCAGAACTTGGATATGCTTCACACTCACAAAGCCAATAAGAGCAAGAGCTTTTCTGAGTCAATATTTTTAAAAAATAAAAAAAATAAATAAAGAAAAGGAACTTTTGCATTTGTTTCCTCATGCAATATTCCTTTTGTTTGTTAAAAACTAAAGTAAAACTTTACATGAAATGATTTTAAGAAGCATATGTCATACATGAAATATGGAAAGTATGATATATGATAAATGTGAGCAAGCAAAGCAACTGAATCAGTTTTTATTCATGCACAATATATCATGTCAAAACGAGCACACAGATTAATACATACATTTGTATGCTGTATTAAGCACAAATATATAAACCTTACAAAATAATTTCACAAGAGGCTATTAAAAGAAGAGTACACTTTTTCTACAAGATGTAGTGTCTTGTTACCTTTTGAGGAGATTTCTTGTATCAGCTCAAAGACAGACCTGTTCAACTTTACATTTCTCAAAAGGTAACATTAGAAAAGCAAAGAACAATACATTATGCAAAAACTTCCTGGCAAGGACAAACCTGCTAACTGTAATCATTCCCCAGAACACTCAGCTTATTCATAGGTGTTTCAAACAGAATCATCATCAACCACATTTTGCATCACAAGAGGTACTCATGCCAGAAGACAGTATTTCTGGGAATCCCATTACAGCATACATAACCTCTGATAAAGCACTAACATTCAGAGAGTTGACACTGGAAGTAACTTAGAGGGCTTTTTTTTCTTTAAAGTTGGAGTTAGAAATGGAGCTAAAATATCCAAACAACTTTTTCAACATACCTTTCTCTAAAATTACATTAATAATTTGTCAAACCTGCTTGATCTGTCTTATAGACAGACAGTAACTTACAGGGAAAGAAGCTTAACAAGGCTAATATTAAACTGTTAAACTTAAAGCACACACACTCTTATAGTATAGTGAATATTCAGTATACCACAGGTCCATATCCTGCAAGGAGAAATGTGCTGGTCCTATAGAAGCCAATCAAAGCCCAGAAGGCTATGTGGATGGCTGATGATACTGCAGTATTAGAACATTTAGGTTGAAGAGAGCTTGAATACTAGGCCTGACTGGCACAGCCTATGTCAAGAAACATCCATTTTTCCTTGCAATTCTATTTTTAAGAACAAACATACTTCCTTTTTCCTCCCAAAGAAGAAAACATAGTGTACTTCATTAAATGAGCTAGACTTTATTATGAAGATCAATTAGATCAAGAGCTGCTAACATTCACCAAAAGTCCATACAGTTCCAAGTCCAAGAAACAAACCCCAAAATCACTCTGAAAAGAACTAACAGCAAAACAACTTGTTCAGCAGTTTGTGTTTGGAAGTATCTTTAGAGGGACCCCACTGCGCTGTGATGAGCCAGTCTATCACAACTCGCTAGTGAGGCAATCAAACCAACAGGCAGGCTTCCCTCTTAACTGCTCTTTCTCCTGTTAAATCACAGATTCAGACATTTAAGATGCTTTTTGTGTGCTCCTTATTGCAGCTGAGAAGAACTGGTACAAAGAAAATTGAGTAATCTATCGGTGTTTGCAGCTATGACATAATTCAAACAGCAGGGAATTGGGTAATTTTACTATTTTGAAATAGCAAAGAAATCCCCACAATCATCCAAGACTTCAGAATGGAATAGTATTCCAAAGGGTGTTTTTATGTAGCAGCCCTTTTTGGCTACTGGACATTCTTGGCCTTAACAGTTTCCATCACTCTGCATCCAAGATTTTATCAGAAAACAGACGTTAGTTACTACCTTCTGCACATCAAACCACACATCCTTGCTCGCAGCTGGTGATTGAAAGCAGTGAGTGAACCCATAAAAGTGGCCCCAGCTCAGCCCTGCTCCTCTTCAGCTACAGCCAAACAGCCAGGACTGAGCAGATTTCACCACTGCATCACTTCTCTTCTGTGGGGACCTCACAGCTGGGAAGAGCAGAGGGGCCCTTCAGTCCCTTTCCCTGAGGAGGAGTGACAACAGGGAGGCAGGGGAATATCCCACCTGCCTTGCTCTCTTCTGCACCTGCACTGGTGGGGGTGTAGAGGAAAAACATACATGTGCATGTGCACACACGCGCTTGTGTGAGTAAAACACAACAACCTCTGCTGCTACCAAAACTGCAGGAGCTGTGCCATCAAATTCACTGGAAACAGGTAGAGGTTCATCACTCATATCCAGTCACTGAAGCAAACACGCTGCGGTGCAAAGCAGCCACAGCAGCCATCCTGGCTCTGTGCTGGGTAGTGTGTGCTCTCTGGAAGAGCTGCACCTCCAAGATCACATCCTCCTCTCACACCAGCATGGCGCAGGAGGTAGTGGCAGCTGCTGACTACGTGCTTCATATGCACAGGAGGTGGTACTCAAGGCTGATGGCCAAACCACTGTCTATGATCTTGCTTGGCAAACACAGTAATTTGCACATATCCTTTTTTGGGCAGCTCACAGTAAAGTAGTAAACATTACCAAAAGGGACAGAATAGTTAAAGAATGGTCAGGAACTTCTACTGTGTTAACCCTTTTTTTTTTTTTTTTTTTTTTTTTGAGTACACCTCTAGTGAGTTTAGGGTTTTTACTCTCCAACTTTTTGCAAATGAGACTTAATGGACCTTTGGTGAATAAATAAGACAACTTTTTTTCCCCTCCCCCCCAATGAGGCCTGAAAAACTAATTGTAAGCCACATATACAGTCATCAAACTCCTTTCAAGCAACTTCCTTTTCCCTCTCTCTCAGTTCCCATCAAGCCTTTGACGATACCTTAACAGTCCATCAAGATGTCTCAGCAGATCTGATAGCTTCTTCAGATGTTATATACTTGAAGTCTTCTTCCAGGCCTGAGAAGTGTAATATATTCTGGAGCACATCTGATCCAAAGAAGCCACAGATCTTATAGGATAATTAAACAGCAGCCATCCAGTGGGAACTCCCAAGACCCGATGAAGTTTGTCTATGGATTTTATGGAATTATATCAAAGGGTCTGTTGCAGGGTAGCAACTGAGAAGTCATGAGGGGAAAAAAGGCAAGAAAAAGCCTGGGAATGGGGAACGATAGCAGTCAACCTCAGACAGGAGAGGTAAGGGGAGAAAAGCTAAGCTAAATACAGTGTTGTATTTAACAAGGAAAGGAATGCCACAGGTCTGGTCGAGGGGAACATAAGTTTAAGAGGAAGCAATGTGTGGTGCCAGGGAATAAAAAGCATCTGCAGGGAACAGAGGAGCACGGGAGGGGGAGGAGAAAGAAGAGGGAAAATATAAAATATGAGAGAGTCCATTTTGGCTAAGCATCTAAACATTTAAGCGCTTATCTGAATGGCATTTTCCAGCCTTACTGAACTTTTGCATAACACTCCCTTCTACAGCAGCTCTCTCTAATCTTTCAAAGTGAAGAGGAACAGACTCTTTTTAAAAGCAATTTGCAATCCTACTCCTCTGGAGCTCCACAGCATTTTAAAAAATTCTTATATTTTTACTTAACTAACGCATGTCATTTGCCAGTCAGGATTCTTCAAGCTCTCACAACACAAGAGTTCACAGACCATCCAAGAGTTTTGGGTTTTTTATGTGTTTTTTTATCTTTTCTCTTTTTCTCCAAAGTGACACCAAATACAACGTTTATAGAAAAAATGTCTCTTCTTATGAAAAGTCATGTATATATGGTTTAGTACTTTGGTAAGAGTAACTCACTCATTCCAGGCTCAGTCAGATAGCTGTAGCGCTTACGTAAAGCAAGGGAGACAAAGTTCTGGCGCCGGTCAGCTTTCTCCGTCTGCAACAAAACATAATACTGTTCAGTGCCTTTAGTATTGGTATCCCCCATGTGAACAGAGCAATCATCAAACCTCAGCATGATGGGCCGCATTTTGCGGTACACATCCTGGCAAAGGAGAACAGATGTTTCTGTTCAGCTTCAGGAAGGCATGCTGAAGCCAAATTTGGGCAAGGAGGCAGGGAATGGACAGAGTCGGTCTCCATTCCTGTCTGCCATGTAATGAGTGTCAGGCACTGTGGAGCAGGGAGCGTGGCTATTGAAGGTAGCAGAAACCTGATGTCAATGACCACCCTTCTGGATCAAGTAGGGAAGGGACTGCAATCATAAGAGATGAACCCATGGGACTGCAATCATGAGATGAACCCATGGGTTCATTTCTGCTCACAATGTCATTGCTTATAAGGTGGAAGAGCTTAAATAGCAGATGTAGTTCATGATCCTGCCTTAATGTGTCTCAATACTATATTATCCCATTATCACTTAATAAACTGCTTCGCACTACTAGAAATGGTATGCTATTATTCATTCTCTCTAAAATAAACCACCTTTGGCTAGAAATAGGAGATCAACACAAAAGACTACAGATACAGACATAAAACACTCATAAGAGTACAACTTAGACCGATCAAATATTTGTCTCCAAATTAATTGGTCCTGAACGCACATACACCACAACATACACTGTCTTTCAAGTGAATACATTAATGACAAAAAAGGCATGGGAGGGGATTTTTTTTAATAGGCACAAAATGCAAAGATGCAGATTAGAAAGCAGACTACTATTGTTAATGAATAAATTGCAATGTAAGTTGCTGCATTCAGTGGCATAGCTGCTAGTGTGATGTCTTAAATATTAGAAGTCCTTCAGAGACCAGCTCACTTGATAATGTGACTAAAAATATGGTTTGTTTAGAAAGAACACTATTGTTATAGCTATATAATAGCTCACTGGGATCAAATCCTGTGGACACAAAGTGATGTGGATGCTATTATTATTTTTAACATGTAAAGAGTGGTTGTTTTGTTTTTTTTAATTATTATTTTAATCAGCAGGTGGCTGCTGCTATTTATTTGCCACCAGGAAGAGAAGAAAACTTTACTGCTAGGTAAAAGGGATACATCTATGTAGTTTATTTCATAAGGTGATCTCATTTATTACTTCTAAAAAGTGAAACCCACTCAGTTTCCTAACAATCTAATGTTGCAGTTTCCAGCAAACAATGGATTTTTAAGTTGCAAATATCTAAGGTTTATTTGAAAATAGATTTGTACACAATATTTAGAAATTGCTCTTGGCTATTTTTTCAGAAGAATCTGGTTTATTTTCCAGGAGTAAAATATTATAGGCCACTATTGTGGCCTCAGCAATACTTCTTTGTTTCTCAGAAATACCAGTTACCAAAGCATTGACAGCACTACTCCCAGAGGTAAAATCATAGCCACTAAATTCTTCTTGATTTTGTCAAAAATGGACTTGGTCTGAATTTTATAATTATATCCTTTTTCAGAAGAAAATGAGTTAAATTTTAGATTGACATTATTCAATGTTTGGTTTAATTTCATAATATATGATGATGTTTTCTCCACATTTGTGCACTTCTGCTGTTTTGCAACAGACTGTCAGATGTTGAGGCTATGGTTATTCTGTAGGTATCATTTCAATGCCATAGTTAAAAATAGTTGTGGTTTTGTTTTTTTTTTTTTCTATAACGTATTACTTTTCTTCACTAAATCTGAAGGAAATAAAAACAGAAGACAGTATTTATATTACCTCATCATCTTGATCTGACTCTGTTTCCTTTTGGTCCCAAGATGCATTGCAGAGACAAGGAATATTATAATGGACAGCAGGGAGAAGAATATCAGGATATGAAAAGGACCAAATTGGGAGCACAAAATGCAAGCTGATTTATAAGGCAAAGCAAATCCAAAATGTCAACACAAAAGAAAAAAGAAATCTTACAACCAATGCAAATCAACACGTGACATTACTGAAAGCATAAATCTATGACTTGCAGGCTGAAGCATGAGCTGTAAACAGAATCGTAAAAAATATAGGAACTTGACACCACAGTAACAAGAGACTTTAAAAGCGTTCTACAAACAAGAAACCAATGAAACATAAATTTAAAAAGCCTTTATTATATTCCAAAGCATTCTCAATTACTGGCATTTCACAGGGTTGCTTTAACACTAGCAGAAAAAAACAAAACAAAATAAAACACAAAAACTAAAGGAGCAAAACCAAAATCAAACCAACCCTAAGGAAAATGTTTCTAATTTTTTCTAACAAATACCTTTTTGTGTGCTGGCAGAGTAATATTCAAGTTGCAAACAGCAGTTTGTGGCAGTCCTTTTGTAGTCTTTGGTTCCTTCAAAAATGATAGTCGACCACAAGGTTCCTGGCTGGTGTCTCTTACCTAGAAAAGAAATTTGAGTACAGTGTAGTAATACGTAATAATTAAGATACCTAGGGGAGGTTTCTGGAGAGTTTCTCAGAGTCTCTCTCCACAAGAAGCTATCTAATGGGTAAAGACCAATGTTATTGAGCTGAGGTACTGAAGAAGGAAAGGTGTTACCATTAAAGAGTTAGATCAGACTGAAGCTCTCTGATGGTAAATCCATGCAAGACAAGATGTTGACCGAGTCCAATGAGACAGTTTTATACTGGGATATTACTGCGAGACATTTTCTGCTCACCTTCATTTTTTTTTTTTTTTTAACCAGGTTTTCCACTTGTGCTCCCCAAAATACTTAAAAACTTCTTTTGCATGGCACCTATGATATCACTAAGGAAAGTGAGCGTCCATTCATGGAAATTTAGACATGAACAGTCTGTGCACATTTTTGTGGAGGCTGTTCTGCTGTACAGTATGTTTTTGAATCCATCTCCTTTGCTTAGTCCCTGGGAAATAGTGATCTACTGGTAGTATTGTGGAGGTCTAACTTGAGACACAGTTTTAATAAAAGGCTGTTTTGCATTTACCTTGATAGAGAATGGCAGTCTATTTTCTTTGAAAGCATAAAAATTAAAAACAAGCTGCTGTCCTCCTTTAGTCAAAGGGGCCAGATTTCCATAGCAATCAACATAAATAGGTTTTCCTTCCAGAACCTATCAAAGCAATAAATAAAAGTCAATAAATACCTCTTTTCATAGTAGATCCATGCACATAAGTATATAATGATTTTCCCCATCCTAGGTTCCTGACTTTATCACAAGTCTCCACTCAGATTAAATTCAATAATAAATTAAAAAATCAATGTGTATTACTGGCAAGGTATTATGAGTGCAGGCAGTTTGGGAAACCATGAGCTACATAAGTAGCTTTTCTGGAGAAAGAGTGCATAGATTTCCTTCAAAAAACAGTGTGTTGGTGACTATGTATCCACCACAAACCAGCCCTACTCATGATTGTGTGTCTGTGGGACCAATAAGAAGGAATTCTAGGTCAGCCATTTGCAAAGCCCAACCAGGGCTACTCGACAGCAGTGCTTGCAAAACCACCGCAGACTGGCCTAGGGCATCCATTTGGAGACAGGTCCTCATGCTCCCCTCACCTTGTCCTTTTTTGGCCTCCTATCAAGAAATTTTTTGACACAGCCTTGCTGTGAACCTTTATTTAACTGAGCTTACAGTGGCTTTTGCAGGACCTGTTGCCACTTGGAAAACACAGTGTCCATTTACAAGGAGGAAGCCACCTATGGGTAAGAAATATACCTCAATGTCTTTGCTTCTTGCAACTTCTTCAAAGTTCTCTTGTTGCTCCAATGTTTTGTCCACTTTGTCATCAGTCATGCAGAAGCAACGCAAATTGGATTCCACAGGGTCATTCATTTTGGCAAATATCACAAACTTTGCCATATAAGGAACACATATTAATTCTCTATAAAGCTGTGTTGCCAGCCCAACAGTCTCTAGTACTTGATGGCAGTCTGCAAGCCAAAATCTGAGTGGGAAAAAGTAAAACATTAAAGCAACTTTTTATTATGCTCAAACGTTGGTTAAACCTTTAAAGAGAAACCATGTCCTGTGATCCTCGGACATCTGCATGCGTACTGTCCTTGCAGACTTCCCAAAAGTGTAATTTACCTTCTGCTTTCAGTGGAGCTTAAACCATTAAAAAATGGGAATACCTGGCAGTGAAATGTTGATATACTTATTTGACCCTTCTCACAGTGGAATCTTATAAAACTATTTAAAGCCTCATTTGAAGCCAAAGCAGGGAAACTATATTTCTTGTGACCACATACTATGCATATTGTAATGTGCTGATACTTCACCATACATTCAATTTGCTAAAACAATCTCCTTGATAACACATATATATAGCAAAATCACATCAACCATATAGGTTAGGAGAATATGCCCACAGTTAAGCTTCTCAAACAGAGAGATGTCCTACTGTCATTTTCTCATCTTAAGATTAAGAGTTTGATTACAATTTTGACACAAGTTATTAATATTTTAATTCATAGTTTGTATAGGTCTTTTCCACAATATGTCAGCCCAGATCAATTTTGTTCTTTCAGCAATTCTCTCTCTTTTATAAAGCTTTTTATAGGTCCAAATGTTACGTACTGAATGATAAATTCTTTACCTGGCATACCATGAATTTTCTCCACTAGGATGTGTGATTTGTACAAATCCTGTTGAATGTCTCCAATCAGCATGTAAGTCCACTAAGTCCATCAAAATTCATTTCAAACCATGATTTTTTGGCAAATGATATTTTTGCTAAAGTAATTTTACATCATTTTCAACTAAAAAGCCCACAACTAGAAACTGAATGTCTTTAACTTTTTTAAACAAATATGTTTTTTATGAATCTTCTCAATTTTTTTATTGAATGAGCATTTTAAATTTTCCCTTTCTGTTGCTGTTTGCAGAAAAACAAACCCTTGTGTGGTACTGCAGTCTTTAGAGAATCAGCATATGTGATTGCCAGGAAATATCACCGCAGCAGAAGAGGTCACGACGAAGCTTCATGTGCAAGCCCGGATGTGTGGGATGATGATATATAGTGACAAAGGAGCATCTGGTCCATTACTGTTTCATCTGTCTTGCAAAAGAATTACAGAAAGCCAAAACACGACCCCACAACTCTGCACTTTGTTATTCAAGGTAAACTACTCCCTGGGTACATTTGGCAAGCTCTGTTATCATACCTGGCTGAAACATTGGTTGTGAATGAGACACAGTCATTTGAGAACGTCAGCGGAGTGGTGCCTGTGATATCCTCCCACTGCGCAGGTGAAGTACCTCCTAAGTAAAGATAAACCGCGGAGATTTTCTTTCAAACACCAAGCATGTACAGACTACGTAAGAATATCTCTATCTGAAGTTATTTTCCTTCACACATAAAAAAACCTAGACAATAATGTTCTCAGACAGCTGAGCTACATGTTATATATTACATCATACGTTACACACCACGTAACAATGCTGATGTAAACAAAGAACTTATCTACAAGTCAATAGCAAACCCCACCTTGATACCAGCTAGAACAGAATTATTTCTGCAAACTACTTTTACTGACAACCATGTTTAATAGTCAAGGCTGAAATTCTTTGTACTGTGTAAGTAAAAATAGTATTTAATATCTGTTAGCAAAGTTCTTTTACAATGGCATGAAACAAGATTCAAAGCCCAGGGAATGAGTGTGAGCCTTTCAAATGACCTCAGCTGGCTTTGCTCAGGAGGACTGATCTGAACTCTACTGGACCAGGCACACCAATGTTCCCTCACTGGAAAGCACAAGTTGTACAGTTATGAGAGTGAGCACAGAGGAATCGTTGTCACAGAAACCTTTGCAAAGTGCATGATTTTCTCTAACCTGTAATGCTACATAAAAGTCGAAGGCTGGGCGTTGTGTCCCCTTTGTACCCATTGGTTACACCTTCTCCCGACGGAGGCGGCACAGGAATTGTCATGGTTATTGGCTTATGAAATTTCCTTCTTCTTGGCTCCACAGTAACAATGGGACTGAAAGTTGCTTTGTTTCCAAGGATTTTTTTGACAATCTCCTCTGGAACTGGTTGAGCCTGTCAACACAGGGAAAATATTTAAATTAGAGCTACAAATTAGTTGTAGACATGCAGAACAATTTTCCAAAAGATATCTCAATTTTTCTTTTATTTTCTGCTGAATTTTATTTATTTTTTCAAACTTGTCAGGTTATTAAGTAATTTTAAGTGATAATTAACAGAACTCAAAGAAAAAGATGCCTTCTATGGAATATTTCTCCACTTTCTGTGCAGTTTGTTTAAGGAGAGTTTAAGCTATTTGCTCTTCCCAGATGCCATCCATTGCTAGAAATGCCAATAGTGAATGCCCTAAGCTACAACAGATGTATATGGGAGGTCTTTGACCCAGGAACAGCTGGCAAACAGCTGCATAAACTCCTTACCAAAACACATTCCTATGGCAAAGGGCAGTCTAGTGACACCAATCACAAGCTGCTACTTGGCCACAGGATGCTGCGACTGCACAGAGGCTGTGCAGCTCACAGCTGCTGGCAGCTGCAGCCATCAGGAAGATGGCAGACAATACCCCTGAGGCTGGGGTGGCTCCAGGCCTTTGCTTTTCTCTCCATTCTTCAGTTGCTAAGCAATATTTGAGGGGATGATAAAAGGTGAGCTGGGCTTTTGCTGTGGGGAGACCTGTGCATCACCCACACCAGAGTGGCACTGAGAGGCAGAGTGGGCTTGGGCAGACACATGCCAGTTCAGATCTCAGGTGTGAATACTACCCACCTTGCAACTACTAAGGAGCAGTAGGCTCTTTAGCTGCAAGCCTCATGTGTTAAGACCAACAATATGAACACAGAGCACCTTTACCTGCAGCCCCACGCGGATTCTTTTGGTTAGAGCACCCTCGGGGAAGGACGCCTGGACACGCGGCACCGTTGTGCTGCTCAGTACCCCACCCTCTGGGCCGATTTGGTTACTCTCCTGCTTGATTCGTGAAACCACCGCGAAGTACTGAGGGAAATCTTTTGTGATGATCCTGCAAATACGCTTCTTCTCTAGCTCCTCAATGCTGTCCAGCTCTGGTGGGAGAAGACAGTTAAAACATTCAGACATTACCTGCCCAGGTTTATGCCAGACACATCTGTGAGTGTGTGTGAGGCTTTGAATATGCCTTAAAATGCTTTAGAAGTTTTATTTTATTTACTACAGGAGAAAAAAAAATCATTATTATTAATTATAAAGCTTTGGTTTGCTCTATGAACTTTTGCATAAATCTTGACAATGAGGGCCAACAGCACCAGACACGCAGATCTGCCAGGTCACCTAAGCACTAGGGTGTGACAATGTCTGCAGCAGCAGCAGCTGCTGTAGGAGGCAGGTTTGCCACATAGTATGGGAATCCATGAAAGAATGCAAGAGATGGTCAAGCTTCTTTCCTCTCTTATCTATATCTGGAAGCACACAAGTGCACTAATCTTCTGTGCATGCCTTCAGAAGACATTTATTTCCAGCCTCTTTCCTCACATGGCTCTGACATGCAGAAAACCACAGGAAATTATAGTCGGTTCACGAACTATCTAACTTCACACCAAATGTGAAATCCAGAGTTTGCCCAGCTGAGACACTTGAGAAAATTATGTCCCAGACTGGCATCCATATAATCCTTACCAGACACTGAGTTCTGTCTGCCGGCACTACCAATGAAACCATAGCAAGGATCCCTTCCCACATCAGGCTTTCAGCCATTAGTTCTGTCTGCCGGCACTACCAGTGAAACCATAGCGGATCCCTTCCCACATCAGGCTTTCAGCCATTCGAATAACTGCCCCAAAATAACTGCATTGTGCTCCTCAGTTCCTAGACAAAGTTAATGCATCCTCAGAGACAACGGAACAGAAACAGGTCATCAACAGTTAGTGCCCTGAGACACATTCCCAGCTTATATGGTCACCAGGGCTCAGAAAGGTGCATGGATTATCTATGCATATTAACTAATTAATTAAGTAGATGACATAGACATATATGCCCCAAGGAACAGTCTGTGATATGTCACAAATATAACTAATTATGAAACTATATGTGTGTGTATATATGCACTAGTGAAATCCCTGTGATACAAACATTATCCACAAATGGAGATAATTACACAACTATCATACATTTCTCCTATAATCTCTTGCAGTCAGCCTTTTAAGCTATTGTAACTGGGTTTCATTTCAGCACTCCACAAGTTTCCACTCTTATTTTCCTCCGTAAAAAGGGCACCGCATTCCTAAAGAAGAAAGTTTGTTCCTTGAAAGATGACATTTCTATCAGATGCAACAAGAGAAAGCAGGAGGACCAGAAATGGTACCAAGACAAAAAACACTTACAATTCCTTACTGTATGTGACAGACATTTTTCCTCCTCTGGACTTGTAAGCTCAATTACAGTTCTAAAAGAATTAGAATATAGATTTGGTAAAATGTCAGTTTTCCATTTAAAAACTTTCAGCAAGTAATTTGGATTAATTGCACGATGTTGCTGTGGATCATATGTAGCTACCAGAAGAGGTAGCTTATCATGTCAGCTTCCATTTACTTTGACTCAGAGATTGATACCTGAAGCCCCTAATGAATTAGTTATTCTGCCTGCAGCCTCTGGAAATAACAGCTTGTGCAGGAGACAAACTGGATTCTTAAACTCCCAGGCAGGTATAATCTTGACTGCTCAATCCTATGCATTCTCCTGTTTGTTGCTAGAGAGTGAACAAGAGTCAGGCATAGAGAGGAGCTGGACTATATATACAGAGATTTTGTTTGGATAATACATACATAAACTTCTATATTTAGTTGCCCTCTAACAGAAACAAAAAAAAAGAAAAAAAGATGATGACCAATTAAACCACCTCTCTGACTGCCATGAGAAATGCAGTGTTAGCATGACAGAATTAGTGAAACAGGGAAAACTACTCCTGGGAGAGGTCACGTCTCCTGAACACACCTCATGCATTTTACAGAAAGAGCTAGCATCACTACTATTTTCCCTCAGTTGCTGGCACTTCATTCCCATCTAATGTGTTTCCATTAAAAACCTCAAAGAATATTTTGTTTGATTCGTTGGGTTGTTTTTTTTAACCACAAAGAAATATGCTATATACCTCATCTTACAGATAAGGATGGCAAAGCAGAGAGGGGTAGAATAGAAAGGATAGTGGCTGAACTGGGAAGAGTCTCCCCATGTCGCTGCCTCCCAGACTTGTGCTAACAGCCCAAAGAAGACCTATGGCCATTAAGTTTTAGTAAGTCAGGAGAAAGATATCATGAATAGTCTGTGTATATATGTCTTCCCCTGCCACCCAAGTGTATGGTACACTTATCCTAAGGTGGCTGGTGTGAGTGATGGAGGAGAGATGAGACAAAGAGAAGGAAAAAGGAGGGAGGAAAGGAAGATCACTCCTCCCCACCCTCTAGACCATGCTGCCACAAGTATTATGTCAAGGTTCCTGGACAGGAGTAAAGAAACCCAGTCATGTCCTCTAAGGTCAGAGAGGGACTTCACATAGGGCAGCTCAGGTCAGGGAAAGCAATCACACCGGTTTTCTTAGGTGACAGGTAGTTATGGATCAAATTCATCCCATGTCTAATACCTTTCTCTTTCACTTTCAGGTAAACTAATGAAGAGCAAGTGGCTTATGACTAGAGATGGAATAAAGAAGTCACAGAACACCTGATTGTTTCATAAACTTCAAGGTGTCTTTGTGTGATCTGGCATCTGATTTCCCTTACCAGGACCTTAAAAGGAGTTTTGCTAGCACTGAAAAAGCAAATCTTGCCTGTACTCAAGCAGACTGCACAGCTCTCTGAGTTTTGCAACCTTCCTACACTACTAGCTAGAGCAGAGCTGGCCTCATCACTGTGCAGAGGCTGAAAGGTGGGATGAGCATATGATAGATACCAGCTTCCCCCATACAGAGATATGCCCATTAAGAAATTATTGCACTAAAAGTGGGGCACACAGGAGGCAGGGCTCACATGGAGAAAAGTACAGCAGATGGATGGAGGCAGAAAGAGCACATGGGAAGGGGCAAAGAGAAACTAAGGGCAGTGAGCCTTGTCTTAAAAATGCTGTTAACTAGACCCACCCTCCCAGCTTCAGTATTTCACATATGTAACTAGACACTCTCAGTGCCACGAGGAGGTCTCACCCTCAAATAAGGCAATGTCCTTTATGTGCTTTTTTGTCTATTTTTGCACAGTCTCTTATCTTGCCATTCACAACACAAAGTTTAACAGCAATATGTTTTAAAACTTTTCTTGGAAATATGGAAAGATCACTGCAGTGCTTTAAGGTGGTATTTTAAACTTCAAGCATAAACAAGGTCACACTCTGGTTTGATCTGTAGACTCAAAGTATTAGTTATATAAAAACTCCTGTTTCCCATCTGAAACCACACTGTGCAGCTGCAAGCATACTGTAGCCACAAATATTTGCATTTCTTGGCTCCCCTACTAGTTTGTAAATGCCTGACAAAAGATTAACTATCCCAGTGTACGCATTTATGTCCACAATTTGTCTACAGGTACCTGTAAAGGGTGAAGGAATGTAAAAAGCAAACACAATTTATATCTAAAAGGCGCCTGGCTGAAAACGTAACCTCTTTACCAATTACAAGACAGATTGCTCCTTCCTAAAAGAAAAAAAAAAATAAATTTGATTCAAGTTTAAATAAATGTAATATTGTTGAAAGCTGTGAACTGCTACCCTTGTGTTTGGAACCAAAGTCCTCCTCTTCCTAAAAATGCCAAGTTCCCTGTATTCACTCAGCTCTATATTTGCCTAAGAACAGCACCATCTTTAGAATAAAAAAAAAAAAATTAAGCAGAAAGTTGACAGCACCAAAGAAAAACTGACTCTTTACATCACAGTTCGTTGTTCTTTCATGATAATAAAAGCAAAGTTCTGCTGTTATTTAATCCGGCATTCAGTGCCCTGGAGTGTTGCCTCCTCTCTGGATTATTTTGAGTCTGAGATGAGGTTTTCCAGCAGATGGTGCTGCTTCCAGATAAGAACAGGCAGTTTTTCAGCAGTCTGAACAGAGGGCGATGAGCAAAGGTGTCCTCGCTCTCATCCCCACTAGTTAAGTGGGAAAGCAAAAGAGGAAAAACAAAACAGGGAAGCAAATTGCTTCTTTAAAAATTCAGCATATTAAGGAGTTGGGAATAAAAGTCTGATTGCCTTCCTTCACTACACAGATAGGAAAGAATTAGTGAGTCACAGCAGGTCTCAGACAAAATCGACCAGATGCTTCTAATAGAAAAATGGGCACTCCTGAAGCACATGGGAGATTACAGATGGCATTTAGAGATGACTGTGCAGATGAATTTTCTTGCAAAGACACACTAAGCTTCTGGAAATGACTGACTATGTGGCTGCTTTTAATTTCAATTTAAGATTGCTTTTGCTTCCAGAGTTCATACTCAGAATAAAATTTCTTCCAAAGTTATTCCTTCTGAGATGCAAGATATTGCTTCAGAGCCAAGTCTAATTGCAGTATTTTGTAACAAAACCAGTAAAAGTTCACATGAAAAAACCCAACCTGCTCTTAATTCTACTAATTTGTAATTTTATGTCATTGCTTGGAAGACCTTTTACACAGAAAAAGTGTCTTTTAACTGGAGCAGAATTTTGTCAAGACCCGTATATTTTAATGGAGGAGGTTTTTTGTTTTGTTTTGCTAACTAGAGAAGGATTAAGCTAAAACAGACTGAACAAATAATCAACACAATGCTCTGGGTGTTGTTTGCAGTATTTTTTCTCCTTTCTCTCTCATAAATGAGTGCCTGGATTGGCAAAAGGCATTTCTACAGCTTGGCTTTTAAGGCGTCAAATATTTTCACTCTAAGGGAACAATCCAGTGTCCATCATACTTTCTGCAATTCACTGGCTGTACATACACCCGCTAACCTCAAACAGCAGTTCCCTAGAAGGGAAGAGCCACCTGAAACCCTCAACAGATCAGAAAGTTGTACTCTGGCTCCAAATCAGGAAGCTTACTATTTCAGGTTCTAAGTTTCAGGGTTTCATGCCCACCTCTTTCAAAGTAGTTTTATTTATTGAGATCTCTTCTCTGTAAAATGTGAATTTATCCATATGGCACCCTCTGGAGAGCTCTTTCGGAAGTGCTGCAAGTTGGAGCAATTTAGAACAGTGTTTTTGTGCCCAGATTTCCTGTCCCCAAATTGAACTAAGCTCAGTTTGGAAAGCACATGAAGCAAATAAGCAAGCTGCTGCTAAGTTCTGACTACCTCACCACTGACAAGGCAACAATACTTCACCCAAATGCCAAATAATTTCTCCCTATCTCATGCTAGTGCACAGAGAAGGAGGGGGTGGTGGTGAGATTTTTCTTTCAGAAATGCTTCAACTACTGCCTTGAATTCTGAAACAATTCTTCCCCAAGCAGTACTATCCTGGGTCATGCTCACTCTTTTGCCTGTTCCACTGCTTTTAGGTATCCTTCTGTGATGAGGTTTATTGTATTTTTCCAAACCCACTGATGCAACATTTGCAGTGTTTCTGCCCTACTGCTTGATTGGTTCTATTACATTTATTTTGAAATAAATAGCTACAATAGATCATCATATAACAAGCAGATCTTTGCCGTTGTTCTGTATTTTTACAAGCTCATGTGCAGTTCAAGTACTTCAAAGTGAAATTACTACACAAGCCCGTTCTGCTGTTCCCGTTCCCAGATGACCAGGAAATCAGTAAAAACGCTAAATCTCAGATGACCAGGGAGCCCCTCACAACACCACTAGTCTCCTTCCCATGTTCTCAAAGCATGCCTTTTGCTGAGGCTGCCCTCTTCAAACAAGAAGGGACCAAGATCAAAGGCAGAGCCTGCTCATAGATACATCTGCCTCTCATAGCTGCCATCTACAGCCTAATTATTTGCTTCAAATGCTTCTGCTGATCATGAAAGAACTTTCCTGCAGCTTGTACCCCACCACACTGTGACTTTCTGTAGGAGGTTATCCAGAGAAAATCCTGTGGGTAAGCCCTTATAGAAAACCAAAGTCCAAACCACAAGCTATTTCATTCACACTCAGACGCAAAGAGCTCAAGCAATGATTTATCAGCAAAAGTACAGAAGAACACTTGCTAGGAAAAGAAAGCAGAGGTGCCAAGGGAACAGTGCAGCCCCAGCCTGGCTTTGCCCACAATGTGTCCGCAGGGACCATCTGTCACAGCACCTTCTGATAAATTGTGTACAGCTGAGTCCTCTCATCTTAGGGGACTCTCACATAAACAGCAATGTCCAAGCAAAACAAGGGAGCCAGACTTCCCAGATGGGCATTAGGAAGGCAGGCTGTGTCTTTGTGGGAGGCAACCTCTAACAATACCGTTTCAAAGAATAATGGTCTATGGGCTGAGGTCTGCATCTGTGGGAAAGTCTAATATAACTGATATTTATACTTCACTGTTGGTTTGGAATGACCTTCACGTGGCCCTTCCTGAGCAGCAGAAATATGCTTACCTCCAGCTGGGATGTTATTCTCAACTTCATGCTGTAAAGCAACTGTGCAACTTTGCTTAAACTTGGCAAGACTTCAGACTAAAACTTACCACTCCTTTCAGGATGTCTCCAGGCCACTGCTGAACAATTTCTTTTTACCCTCTTTCCATTAGTTCAATATGTAACTCACACTGTATTCTCCAAAGTCGGATATCCTCTCCACTGTTTCACTTCAGGTTGTTTTAGTCTGCTCATGTTAGCAAGCCTGCACAAAGGTAAGGCCTGCTAAAGCTTTGAGAAAACGTTTACCTTCATCCATGCCATTGAGTATTTCGGTTAAGTCTTCATGTTTGCTGTCATACTGGTGCTCCTTCCACGTTTCACCATTTTCACTTCGAAGTACGATTAGTTCTCTTTCCTTTCCTCGCATTGATCCAAAATGCGGGATTTCCACTATGACAGGGCTAGAGAAAAAGGAATCATATTATTTTTAATTCTATATCTCCTCACTGCCCTTAATTTCCTATGAGTGTTGAGTCCTTAAGAAAACTACAGTCGTTTTAAATAGTTAGCACTGTTATGGTAAAAATGTTTTTAAAATTGTCAAAGCTGCACAGTCCTTTATCATTTAGACTACATAATAGATAACTTGAGAATATTCATCTATAGTTCATTTTTAATGTAAAACTTCTAAAACAGCTGCCCACATGAAAAAGCAGTGACAACTTTTGCTATGGAGAGTTCTCCCTGCTCATTTATCTCAGGATGTAGGTGATCCAACCTGCTTCAGCACACACAGCACTGCTGACTTTTAATTGGCATTAGCATAATCAAAATTCAGATTTGGCTCAAAGGATTTAAAGGGGCAAAGTCAGTTCAGAAACAGTCCAGCTATCCAAATGCATGTAACAGCTACTGACTGCAGCAGGAACTGCACGTGCATGTAGGTTTTAAACTTCAAACTAAGTCCCAAGCTTTCCAAAGCTCTCCCTGGCTCTCTGTTGATGCAGCTCCTGGGAAACACAAGAGGTTTTTTCTCATTAGCTTCACTTTCTGCTTCTCATGCCCAAAATCACAGCGGCAACATCTGCACTGTAAACATCACCATGGAATGTTTAGATCCTTTCACAATGGATTTCTCCAAGTTAAGCAACATAACAACTACATTTATGTTAGTTATTGTCAAACATTTTGGAGAGAAGGGAATGAGAAGGCGGTTAATAGTACACCTATGTCACCAGACAATGTACCTTCAACAGAGGACTGCAAGTGCATTACTGAACAGTTACCGTGAACAACCAACAGAAACCACCATTCACTTCATGTGCCATTCCTTAACAAAACAGACACTTTTGCCAAACACTTCACAGGCAGGATATGCATTTTAAAGTATGCTGAGACAAACCGACTGAAATCACACAGTAAGTGAACAATTATGGATTATGCAGCTTTAAGACATTTAAATAGACAGTATCATTATTTTCCTACAGAGGTTGTAAAGGATTTCACTGCTTTGTAATAACTCAGTTAAAAGTAGCATCACATGATGGGAGAAGTATGCAGCACTTCTATGGTACTGTACACCTGCAAGGTCTTGGGTATGTTAACTAATTACCTGAGCATAGAAATCACAACAGCCACCATGAGGAAAAAGATAAAACTACTTGGAAGTCCAGTTTTCACATTAAATACCAAGGAAGAAAAGTTAGAAAGAATTTTTTCCCATGAAAATAGAAAATGACAGTTTAATTAATACATATTTCAGATGCTTTTAAGAACACCCAGGCTGTTACTCTAATCTTGGGTCCTTTAACAAGAAATAGGAATGTAGCTGCTGTCTCCCATTGCACACAGCAAGTAAATACCAAAAATTTAAATGCATTGCTTAAGATATTTACTCTCTAGTTCAAAAAGAGTACAAACTGAAAGCTAACACTGTAGTACAATCTTTGCAGGCTAATATTTCAGATACTGTCTCTGTAAATATTTAGAAATCACACAATTTTGTGCATGACATTTAACAAGAATACTCAGTGAGAAGGTATTGAACAGGTTTGGAACACCAAACACCAATATTTTGAAAACCTAATGCAATAAATTTCACAATATGGTTTGAAAAAAACAGTCAAAAATATATGGAAACTTTCTTATATTTTTAGACTATACACTGCAGTCCCTTTGGGTAGCATACTTGGCTTTATACATTTATTTTAACAAGACACTTTTTGCTGGTTGAAAAGATTAGTATATCTCCAATCTTGTTGAATGAAGTCATTCACTCGATGACATTTTTTACAAATAATCTTTCATAAATAAGAGACTGTATGCAATTACATTTTACAAATGCTCTTCCCAAAACAGACTCACTCAGGGCCTGTAAATACCTTCTCTACCACAGGGTTGAACTTAAAGGACTGTCACCGTGTATTAAAATGTATTTGATGCAGTTGAAACACTTCAAATTTAAAAAATTACAAAAGCACATAAGTTATGAAAGCAGAATGCTGGCAGTGAATTTACATGCCTATAAGCACAAGGTAGTAGCAGAGCTATATTAAATCAAGCCACTATGATCTTCTTTCAGTGACATAAATCAACTGAAAGCTTTAGAAAACTTAAAAATAAAAAATAAAATGGGAATAACAAAAAATTGGAAACAAAAGAAAAACTGTAGACATTCTGTATCTTTTCCGTACATATCCTACCCAATAAATTTTGTTCCTTGTGGACCAAGCTGCAGGATTCGGCTAACCATGCTCTCGCCCTCATTTAGAGGGGGAGGAGTGTTAGGAAGATGCAGTTTACTGAATAACATCCATGCAGCAGGAAGAGAAACGAGAAGGGGAAATTAGGAACAAGCTGTCATTCCCGACAGAACCGGCAGTTTACACCAGGGTGCCACTCATGGTAATGAACAAAATTTGTAACTAGGAAAAAAAAAGCCACATCATAGTGGGTTGTTTCCCCTATTTTAAGCTTAAAAAAATGTTAGTTCCTATCATTTGTACCACTTGATGCTCTACAGTAAGTGCTCCACCATTGCTCTTGGCGGCTTTGCTCCATGGGATGGAGACAGGCAGCTCCCAGTGACTCCAGCAGGAGCCAAGCCCATGCCATGGCATAGGGAACAGAGCTCCATGTTTGGGTCCTTGTCAGTGACACTTTTTGTTACAGTGATGTTTCTCTGGAACTATTACGAGCAAGAGGGTCAAAACCTGTTCTGGGCTACAGGTGTGATTCCTCCTGACTTCAAAGGCAGGCTGCATGAGTAGATGGGGGCAAGACTTGGCCCTTTCATTGCTCCTTACCTTTGGCTCCACCCTGCAGTCATCATAGAGGCAAAGCTACCCTTAGAACACAAGGGTACTTTCTGGAAGGAATGGCAGGTTGGCTTTTTTTACTATTTCAAGTTAAGTAGCCTATCTTACTTGCTCAAATGAGGTAGTCAATCTTTAACCACTTAGATCCACAGGATAAAGAAAATGAAAGATGTAACATGAATCTAAACAATGAAATTCATAGAACAACTCACCCTAAAAATTGTGCCCCGGCTGGCCCCATTTCTACAAGTCTACTCGCTAATCCTTCTCCTTCAACCATCGGTGGAGGGCTGGCCAGTTTATGCCTCTTTACCAAGCGGCAGGTGATGCGGGTCGGTGCTGTACACTTGCGTGGTGGGATAATTATTCTCATTCCATGATGGCGACTACCCCTCATCGAACCCCCACGTGCATCAACCATAAAACTAACCAGGAAACTGTAGGAAAAAGGAAACATGTCAATGAAAATGGTCACAAAACAAGCAGATGATCAGCAGAAAGTCAACCACCACAGTCTTTAAATCGTTATTAGAAAAGTCCTCCCGATCCCACCTAAACTAAAAAAGAACATGAAGATTCTTTTAAAACTTATACTTACATGTTAACTATTGGTTATCAAAAGCAGGAATTGCTAAGGTTCTACCAATATAATGGTGAAATGAACAGGTGCTACTGAGTAATTTGGATTAAAAGAATACACAAGTATTGTATTAGTAGTGGTTTATTAGAATTTAAAAACATCCCTCTGTTACTGTTAGCTCTACTGTCCATAAAAAAGACTAATTAGCTTCACATGCAGAAAAGAACCAGACAGTACAGAAAAAGGAGAATCAAAACTGCTCATGACTTTTGGGATCTCTCTTCAAAACCTCCTCATAGTATCATCTGCAAACACTCCTGAAGGCTGGCAGAGTGAGTGCTGGCACCATGGGCCAGTCAGTCCAGGCTACTAAGGGCTTCCACTGATGAGCAATGAGTGAGAATATCAAGTGCATAACTTTCTTTAGGCTGCTGGCACTCTGGATGAAATCATGCCATTACTCCTCTGTGAAGATGACACTCATTAGCAAAAAGTGACATTAAAGAAAAATTGCATTTGCCAGTGCCATTTCAATGCATAATTTTCCATTTAATAGTAGAAGGGTAAGCAATTATATTTTAAAATAAAATAAAATTTTAAAATAAAATTATTTTTCTTAAGCAAGAGAATGATGAATATTAACAAGAATAATCATAATAGCTGTGGTTTATTTCATCTATGAAAAGCTGAGAAGCTGCACACATGAAGTGTTACTGTCTTTAACAGAACAGTGACAGGAAAGTGGAGTCTCCTCCTAGGACCAAAACTAGACTTCAGTCTGTTTCAAAACTGCAGCAAAAATCCTTCCAGTTTATGGAGATCAAAACATACAGCTTCCTGCAGGGCTAAACAGTTATGAGAATTCTCATCTGGTGCTCCAAAATACCTTCCCTTTTCCTTTGTACCATAAGCTGCTGAAAGAGAATAGATTCAGGTAGAAGATGCAAACAACAGGCCACTATCAAGAGGGACAGCAGTTACTAATTCAGTCTTGACGTCAATACATTTTTTGTTTGCTCCTTCTGTATGATATGCAGGCACTGACTGACATAGCTGATACATCTGCTGTATGGTTTCACTATTTTCAAGGCTGTTGTCAAAATTTCCACATCTTAAGACTTAACCTTCACATGATTAACAGGTGAATCCATACAATTTCCTGGTTCCCTACTGTAAACTGAACTAAAGATAAGAGTCAATAATCCAAGGGGGTCATGAAGATTCTTTAAAAAAAGCCCCCAAGTGCCCTCTGAAGTATGAATGGGAATTTGTATACGACTGTTATGTTTGCTTTTGAGACCAGCAGGATATTAAAACTAATAGCTGACATGCATTGGCCAGGTCCGCAAAAAAGCTGCATTTGGAAGTCCAACCAACATAGGTGGGAAAAATCTGCACAAAGTAGGAATGTAACCAAAACTTGGTATTTCATAGTCTGCAGGAAACAGGCAGGGAGGGACACAAGCTGTAAATATATGAAGCAGGACAGAAAGGTTGCCCAACTGAATACCTGATAAAGAAATTGCTACATTGCCTTTCTTCAAACCAAATAAAATCTATCAATAAATATGGGAAGGTGAAACAGCCCTCTGAGATGACCCTAACCCCAATTCGTAACTTCTTGTGCCCTAGACACTTTACAATAGTGAAGCATGGAATAAAATTCAGTTTTCACACAAATAAATTGTATCCATGTTTCTCTCCTAGATAAATACACTGTACACTACTAAATCCAAATGTTGCCTGTAGGGTATCCCAATTCCTCATAAGAGGAATTGTTCAGTGGGACGGGATCTTTGCTGAATACCTAACCAAACACCTTCTACAAATCTTAGATCTATGTCAAAAACCAATATGCTCAATCTTTAAATTGTAAAGTATATAAATTATGTTAATATCTATATTTATAGATCACAAGATCTTAGATGTCTGTAAACTTTGTTGACTGGAACACTTTTCTGTTTGCTAACAAAAGGCAGAGATGCCAGCTCTAGAAAGCCTGGACCTTTGGGGTTCCCTCTCCTCTCTGCTCACTGAGCTCTATTAGCCTGTCAGCATGTTTATGTTGCTTTTTTCTCCCTGCAACTGCTCTACACAGTGGGTGGTGAAGGTTGATGGTAGGAGGAAGATACCACTGAGCATGTGGAAGTGTAGGCCAATGGTTGGTCTTCAGAGCTGGCAAGGAGCCAGCTTGTGACTAGCTGTGAAGAGAGTTCAAGACAATCCATTAAAATTTACTATGAAGCAAAGTAAAATATGAAGCAGGCACCCACAGTCCTTGGTCACGGAAGAGAGAATACTGAAAGAAATCTGTTACAATTGGTGCTTTAGTGGCCATTTAAAAATGTGAACAGTTTTCGTTTGCAGAGATGAGGCCACTTCCACATGGAAGTGCACAGGGCGGAGGGGTGGCTGGCTGGAGTTCCCTTCAGGGCTGATGCTGCATTAGCTGTGGGTAGGCACATCTGGTCAGTGCACTGAAGAGTACCGGAGAGAGGGGTGTCCCAAGGAGCTCGGCAAGGCTGGGCTTGGCCTGATGGCTCACTACAAAGCAAAGTTTTGGAGAACTGCCAATCACGTACATGATTACTGGCACACTAAGCCATCTCAGAATTAATAAAAAAAGGAGTTTTTCATCCAATGCAAAAATGCCGAAGCTTACAGACAGATAAGATGCTGTCTCTGTCTCTGTATCCAAACTATTTAGATGACGCAATATGTAAAAGTGGATTGTCAAAAATCTCTAGGCACCTAAATTAACTGACTTAATTTTTTTTTTTTTTTTTTGTAATCAATAGAAATTAAAACTATAAAAATCAGGCCCCAAGTTCTCAGGTACATTTACGCTATAGACTTCAAGGTCAGTCACAGCCTTGGCAACTTGTGGCTTAGCACTGCTAAGGAACACTGCTCACAGCAAGGGTAGACCCTCGACATGAGTCTATGCCCCATTGCAGGAACTAGCCCATTACAGCCAGTTTTGGTGTCTACACCACACTGCAGCCTTCAGTGAAGACAAAACCCTTGACTAGTCCATCAGCCTTTATGCATATTCCTCCCATATAAGTTAATAATTGTCAACAGCATATTAATTATTTCCTTGTTTAGTTTTTAAATTAGTAATTTACCATTTCAAACAATAACAATAATTCCAAACAGTATTCCATGCACTTTCTATCAAAAAGATTAGTAGCTGATGCTTACCTAAATTAATGCTGCACTAATAATGGAAACTACAATATGATCTCTAAAACACAATGCTAAATGCTAATGAGCATTTCTACTTGAATACATGGACAGGATGAGGATGTGGGCGGATGCACTACAAACATCTACATACACTCTGTGGGAAAAAAGTTAAAAAATAGAAAATAAAATGAGGATTCACAGAAAGCACAGAGTTATCACCTTGAATCATACTGGGGGAGTGGAGAGGAATAGCTGCAAAATAATTTAGAAAGCAAATGGGAAAAATTAATGTAAGATAATTAGAGGCAAGCAACATAAAATATCAATAACAAGTGCAAAGGAAAATCAGAAAAATAACAAAAGCAACATATTCAAAGGCCAACTTTTGAAATGATTTGGCTTTTGCTTCACATATGACCTATGCCATATAAAATATGCTACATATGGAAAAAAAGTCTGAAAGGAAGTGTTCATTTAATTAGTCAGCACAAGTCTATAATTTCTCTGGAAATACAGAAACACATGGAGAAGAGACAAGCATTTGCAATTTACTTAGGTCAACAGAGAATTTATTGTGACATAACTTCTTTCTTTAATTCCAAATCATGCTCCACTGGGCCACAGAAAACCAAACCAGTGCCATTCATTGCACTGCTTTCAAAAATGAGTTCTTCCGTGTGTACAGGAGGTTGTAGTAAACTATAATTAATGTGATGTATTGCACCTTGCAAGACTGGATCCAGTATTTCTGAGATTCTCAATATGGAAGGCAATGTGACACATTAATTTCTTTCTAAAAATAAAGCTAAGAAAACCAAGGAGTTAAAAAAGGCAACATGAAGAGAGCACACCCACATTTTAGTCTGCAAAAGTTGCACAGGTAAATTTGAATTTGAAAGCCAAAGGTCATTTTGGTGAAATGGCCCCTTCCAGAGGCCTCCAGATTCATGACACATTTCAGTGTACTGCTTACCATGGACTCTGTTCAAAATATAAGCTGGCAAAGCAACTTATCTGAACTCAAAAAGAAAAACATAAAACATTATCTTGGCTTAAAAAAAAGGGAAAACCAGAAGAGTCGAAATTACTGCCAACAATTCATTCTTTCTTACCCTTTCACTGATACACTGCTGGATCTCCACGTTCTGTTCCCAAAATTTCCCCTTCTGCCTCAGTTAAGAAATGGGAACAAACTTTGATGCTCTCTTCTGACGGTGGGTAAATGGGAATAGAGCTACCCGAAGGAGCGGACTGCAGAGGAGCTCCCCCAGCACGGCACACTGCAGAGCCCGGGGGAGGATGAGGAATGCAAGGAGCAGTGGGGTCAGGCCCTGGCCGTAGGGTGACCCAGAGCAGGAGGGCTGCTGACAGCCGGTATGCCTCTGCCTGTGGCCACAGAAAGAGTGGGGACAAAGCCAGGGAATGAAGCACTGGGAACAAGCAGAAAAGGAGTTGCTTTTCAGAAACAGATTGGCAGAAGAGAAGTGAAAAGTCATGATCCTCTGTATATCAGATGTGCTGAGGTACTGGAAGATATGAAGGGAACATCTGTTCATTGTCTCTAGATGAAGATAACGGGGAAAACCAACACTAACGTATTACAATATGGGCCCACAATTGAAAAGAAAATAAACAATGAGCAAGGGATTTTTCCTAACAAAGGAACTGAGTCATCACAGCATCATTTCTGATGGACTTTATCTGTCAAATGAGAAATGTGACAGGTCTGAAAAGCTATACCTGTTTGGAGAATATTCTGGTGCTCAGACCATCTCCCTCCCTTGCAGCCTCAGAGTTTGCTCCACCGCTGCAGGTCTGCAGCCCATCCCCTCTGGGCAGCAGCTACAGCCACCTCTGCATTAGTGAGGACTGATGCACAAGGGGAGAAGATCTGAAGTAGCTGATGTGAAAAATCCCACATCCACAGAATCTATGTTTTGGAGGGTTGGAACCATTAGTGAACATGCTGAAGAACTGAGGGCAGACAAATATTGTCCCAGAGGACTGGCAGGATGCAAACATCAAACCTATTTTGTACCAGGATGAAAAGGAGACAGAAAATTTTAGACTAATCAGTCTAACTCCAATTACCAGAAATATTAATGAATAAATTATCCAACAATCAATCTGTAAGGGCCTAAAGAATAATCAAGAGATTACAACTCAACTACCACCAGTCCTCAAAATAAAAACAAGCCAAAATAAAAGTGGCAAGAGTAACTCACGTCAAATGAATTTAACTTCCTTCTTTGACAGAGTAACTTACCCAGTGAATATGTACAAGTATGGTCTTGGTATTTCAGTAGGCAATCAAGGTACAGTATAGATAAGCTAAGTGAACAATCATCTGAGAAGTTACCTCAAAGGAGATACCATCAGTGATTTACTGTTAAACTGAAAGGAAACTTCAAGTGGTGATTTCACTGTGCTGTCCTGGACCAGGTACTAAGTTAATGTCTTCATTCATGGTTTGAACACTGAACAGAAAGAAGGTTTGAAAAGTTTGGAAAATATGATCAGAATTAAAAGTTATCTTGCAATATGGAAAAAGGGTTTGGAACCAACGAACTGAAATGCAGTAAAGGCAAATGCAAAGAAGGGGGAAGAAGTCAAACATGTAAGCAGAAAACAGAAAAAAAAAAGACTGCAGAATTTCAGAAAAGAACCAAGAAATTTTAGCAGATTACAAACATCTGTCAACAGAAACTGCAGTTACCAAAATGATAATCCTCATTGTGGGGTTGCTTTAATGTAGGTGTGTCATGTGTGAGACAAAAGAACTAGCAATACTGGTTTAGAAATAAGCCATCAATAAAGAGGCGAGAGCCAGTGGTCAGTGGCAAGGATGCGCTGAAATGTGAAAAGCACCACCTAGGAGGATCTGGGACATTTTAGTCTATAAAAGAGAGGATTACATGCCTTATAACATATGAAACATCATTAAGAGACCAGTAACATATTGTTCTGCATGACCACTATGAACATGACAAGAAATAAGCTTAATCTGCAGCAAAGAACTTTTACATTGAATACCAGAGGTAAGAAATATTGTAACAAAGGATAGTGAACTACTGAAGTTGGGAAACTATAGAATCTTATTTTTAGTGACTATGAAGAAACTAAGCATATTTCAGAAATGGCTTGACTACATTTTATCCTGCTGTAATGCAAATGGGTGGACTACTGGCTCTCTGAAGTCCTTTGCTGACTTAGTTCTCCATGATAATCAACAGACTTCAGCTTTTCCTACTGCAGCTCTTGATATTTTAACTCTAGCATTGACCATATTCAGTGCTTTATCGGCTCAGTACCCAAAAGTCCAGCAGAAGAAGGTGCTTACATGTACTGTGGGACTGTAGCTTTAGACTTGAGAGACTTGCTGCTGTTTTGGATCTGAAATCTTTTGGTATGTGCTGCACTCATTTTCATTATAAGAATGTAATTAGTCACAAAATGAATAAGTAAATTAAAAAGGATATTAAATTTTATGTCTTGATCTTGAAAATTAAACAACAAATATTTATACTAGACAATCTCATATGCAATGATTCCTTTCAGTTACACATTTATTTGTAAATTTTCACAATATGTATTCAGACATTACTACTATTGCATTTAAATCAAGTCTATGCAGTACTGTCAAGCAGCACCACAACTACAGCAATGACTCATAAGTAAATGAATAGTACCACTAAAATCAAACTACAGATATTGGAGAATAGGCAGGAGTTTGGAGGTATAAATAAAATAAGAGGTTAAATTAAAGCCCCTTTTTTCTCTATGAAAGAACAGAAAGCATAACATTCTATCTCTGATTTCATATTCCAAATAATTTAATACAATTTAAACAAAATCACCTTATGACACTTAAAAGCAAAGCATAAGCATCAGAAAAGCAAAATAGGACTATTAAAGAGAAATCTGTGGGATTACAATGTTTTGGTATTCAGGAAATTAAGTGCAGAAGCAAGTTTTTGGTTTGATATGCAAGAATTTAGACTGATTCCTCTTACTAAGCACCCTCCTTGAAGTCAGTGTGAATTTTGCCACTGGCTTCAGCTGGTCCAGGAATAGGCATGTTATCAGCCATTACAGCAGGCTGTATTCTTCAGCTAACAATACACTTCTACACCTAAAGATAAAGGAAATCTGTTAAAACACCTACCCAGAATGGATGGGACTTGAAACAAGGTTAACATTGTCCAAGGTGTCTGCAGCCCAGCTATAGTGTCTGAGAGAATCAGAATCAAATTCCCTTTGAAACGTCAGGTGCTTGAAAACATAATAAAAAAAAAGATAAATTGAAATTTAAAATTAACATGACAAACACTTGTCTTAAAAATAAGCTTGTTAATATAATTCTATGAAATTTAGATCTGTTCCCTTTCCACATAACAGTGCTGATATGCCAGGTGTTAAATTACTCGAAATCCCATAACAGAAATGTGGAATACACAGATTAATTAATCCTATGTATCTTCAAACACTCTTTTTGCCTACTTTTCCCACTTCCTTCAGTTACAATCTTTACTTACACATGCAAGGTTAAAAAGATGGGAAAAAATACTACCATTTGTACTGCAACCATACACTGTATACACAGGCAGTATAATGTTGCCCCATAGAAAAGGTCATTGAATAGATCCTTATTCAAGCAGAACCTGTGAATAACTTTACTGAGAGTTTAATTGAAGCTGTGAATGCATGACTAAGCTCCCGGTGGGAGGAGGGTTTAGTTTGTCTTTATACAGGTACGACCAACATGAACACTGTTTTCTGGAGTGCCACTGTCCCTACTCATCTCTACAAAAATAGCTTTAACCCTGTGAAGTGCTGGCACACTGGTGCTATAATTATCTGCCCCACCTGACAGACACTGAGGCGTAATTTGTTTCTTGCTGCTGTCCATGGACATGCACACGCACACTCATACGTTCTGTGCCCTCGACAAGGTCTCACACTATAAATTTTCTTATCCGTGTAGCTAAGCCATTTAGTAAAATATTTTTTTCTTTGTTTCTTTTTCCTAGGAAATTAAACAAACAAAATCTTCAAATACTGTATGTCCATATTCCCAGGGTGATATCAAAGCTTCTAAACAATTTAAGAAGCACCGCCAGAAGTTACATCAATAAAACTAAGTCAAGATGCTGTCATGCAATACATGCCGACTATCTTCACCCAAGATGGTGTTAAAGATGTCAGTGTTTCCTGTAAGTAGGCTGTTTTCTGCTTATGGACAAATACATCTAGAGAGAACAGAGTCTGTGAAGACTGAAACCTCATGAGCTGTTTTCAAATTCTGTGGGTTCGTGTCAAACCTGAGCCAAGCACACACTTCTACACAGGGAATTTTTGTTATTTACAACTTTTTTTTTTTTTTAATGTACTGGCACACAGAGGTAGTGCAAATTAATTATTTTGAATGGAAATATCAGCATTAGTAGTAAATATGGCAAAGTCAGTCATAAACACACAAAAATACTTCTGCTGAGAAGCTTCCACAAGATAAGCAAGCAGATAGTGCTCTGCTGTTGGTCAGAACCTGCAACCCTCCCATCACTCTGGGGTTTCCAAAAAACTTCTCTATTTAGACATTTATGTTAGGTCAAATGAGTATCCCAAGTTTCCTTCAAAAAAACCACTGACATTATCATTTACCGCCAATCAATAGAAATATCTGCAGGATACAACTTTGCCGGACACTGTGGCACATGGCTCAATGCCTCCTTCTTTTGCTGCCTTAACTCTTTTATGAGGACCTTTCATTAAACTTTTTTACTTTAAGATATGTACTTGAGGCCTGATGGTTCAAGCACAGACAACAATAATAATGAGCAAGCTTACATATGTTAAACAGCACAATACACCATCAGACTTAAAAGATAAAATGAATGTCATTAAAACAATGGCAATTAAGCCATGGCAATGGATTTAATTAGCACCATTTTGAAAAATGTACCATAATTTAGTTTAATGAATACAGTTTTCTAACTCTTTCCAGTAGAACACTAGCGAATCTCCTACATTTCCTAAAAAGCCCGAAGTTTAGGTAGGAAAGCCACTGCTGTAGATTTCTGCTATTCCAAGTGATCTAACTTCATAGGAGCTCACACTGAGTACATTATTACTTCTGATACCAAACAGTGTTAGATCCAGACTTGGTCTCAGAAGCTGTAAAAATTTAGATAAACAAAAATAAATTTATTCCTTTACACAGTGATTAACATTATCATCAGAAATAGCGGCCAAAACAAAGAAATATAAGAAATGTGTAAAAAGAACACCACAGTTTTGTGTTTGTCATTCAGATGCCTGCTAAGCCATAGCAGTGTCACTGCACTGAGGTCCAGGCATGCATCAGGACACATACATCAACAAATAAACATGGGATCACATTTGCTATAAGAAATGAAAAATGCTAAAGTTCCTTCATCAGTGTGATACAGAAAACTAAACATAGGGCCACATAATTTCCAAGGAAATACCACCACTCTAAAATAATCTATGCTTTCTAGAGGTGCTACTATGCTCACCAAGTTGCTGTAGGTTTGCCTGCACACATACATAGGGTTCCTTGATCTATTCCTTTGTCCTGAGATACTGTCTGTATATCAGGTGACTATATTTTTTGATGCATTCTTTTCTGACAAAGTGCACTCAAACAGATCTTTTGGACTTATTTACAGCCAGTAAAAGCACAAAGCCTGCAGCCAGTAATTTTGGCAAAGAAACAAGAGTAGGAAAAGCTAATAGCTGGACACATGCATCTGACACGCAGCACACATCTGTTGATCTCATTTTGTCAGGCTGTTGAGCTGCTGGATTTTTCAGGCAGGCAAAAAAACCTTCCTGTGTAAGCAGTCCAGAGATGGTACATCATCAGTGACATCAAATCACAGGATTCATCCTGTGTTTGGGCAGGTCAGGAGAATAAATATGCATTGCTAAAGGGCGTGGCATTGTTATAGGCAAATACACGTGTAAAAATACTGATGGCTCTGCTGGCAAGGATCCTGCTGATTGCATAACTGAATATCCAGGCTGTGCAATATCAGAGTTCAGCAAACAGAAGAATTTATGCTTCCTCCCAGATGAATTTATCCAGATAGAAGAGATTCAGCAGGCTGCTGAATCTGACAGCCTGATTCATCCTGCCTTTGGCTGATTAAATTCAGAGGCTCATGTAAATTATTCCATGGAGAAATTTGTTCCGATTTGGTCTGAGTTGCTGCATCCATGGTAACGCACCAGGACACAGAAATTTCAACTTTGCTCCAGCCAGGTTATGAGGCACAGTATGGCCTGGACCTAGACTTCCCGTTGAAGAGGGTCAGCAAAAAAACACCAAATGCAAACAATGGAAAATATCTCAACTTCTCAGGGAATTATTAGAAACTCTTCTCTAACACCCAATGTGTCATGCTGGCAGACAGGTTCAGTAAAGACTAATTTCAAATCTTCCTTGTTTCACTCTTTTTAGACTTCCAAGTCTCCCAGTGATCTTGGTGAGAGGTAGCCATGGAATCTTCTATTTTAACCTGATCAAGAGGTTGACAAATGCCCCTTACTCTTTTACAGACTTATATTTGTGATAAAATTCATTCCCTTTACTCTGAGACTTTGCTGCTGCCATGAACTTCGACAGGTCTGAGCTTTACAAAAGAAGCAAAACAGAATATGCAGCTAGGCAATGTCCCACTTCTTTGAATTAGTGTGATACCCCAAACAGCCTTAATTCCCATCAGTTTCCAGATGGACATTTAGGGTATTGGTTTTGACAAACAATGATCTTTGTTCCTATGAATTCCATTGCTGGAACACAGGGTGGGATTTTTTTTCCCTGCTTTCTAGTGCCATAGCAGAGATTATCTAGAAACTCAGTAACATACAGAGGGAGGGATGGTAAGAATAGAGACGGGTGTTTTCGCCATCTCCCAAATGCACTTCTCCTGCTTCAGCCAAAGAGCTGTAAAGCTTACCACCATAGGTTTGGGCTGGGCTGAAGAACATGGGAATCCCAGAGGATGGACATATTTTTTGTCAGGGCTTGGAGGTTTGCAGAAGCCATAGCAGAAAATTTTACCTAGGTTCCCTTTTTCATGACAATAGTTTGTTGCTTTACTGTCACTTCTTTTTTGGGGGATCATGGTTTTACTAACCTCTCAAGACAGGACTGACATTTTTTTCCACTACTACCTTCACCATTCTGCTGGACTTGAGAAACCTGAAATTTCTCTAGAGGCTTAAGATTAGAATAACATTTACAACTAGACTGCCAGTTGTAGACCTCCAGCCTGGCTTCATTTTATGTGACAAATTTGGACCAGCACTGAAGTGCAGTAATTGGACAATCATTGCTGGACAAAAACTGGAGTCACAAAAATATGAAGACTATAAGTGCAATGAAAACGGCCTACACTGCTGCTCAGCATCAGCACTAGAAGGTTGTCACATTTGCTGCCCTCTCAGCTCAAGAACCAGCTCTGCAAGAGATCCTCCAGAAAGCAGAGGTCCATGACCACTTGCACCGAACATGAAGTTTGCCCTAAAGTAGAGCTTCTGTATGTGATGTGGTATCACTGCAACACCTCCATGTACAGATAAGAAATTCTTATTTTTCTAGTGGAATTTTGTAATACAAAACAGGTTAATGGTGCACACTTTGAAAATGTTCTTTAAGAGTTATTCAGCATAGTGCTGGTTTTAAATCTTGTTATTTGACCAAACGTACCCTAGCTGCTAAATCAATGCCATCTGCTTTGACGGTAATCACAAAAATGGTCAGAATCATAAAACAATGTAATATGTTCACAAGCTGAAGAGACTTCTCCTCTGAAATTTCCATCATATCAAGAAAGCTTAATGAAGGCTTAGGAGTAGGAAGTGTCAGAGTAACTTCAGGTTCTCAGTTCTGAAATATCATTTCTTGTTCCAAGTGGCAGCAGTTGCAGATTTTATTTTCTGACTTCAAAACAAACAAAAGCAACAAAATTACTGCTATGCCATGTTCAGAAACTCTCCTTAGCTGCCTGTTGCAAATCAAAGTTATTGGAGGTTTACAGCATTTCACTTGAAAGTAACAACCTAATAATAAATATTCAATTGCTAAAGAGAGAATCCAATCTCTGCCATTGTCATAATGCTACCAAAAATCGTGTGCAAAAGCTGTAGTAAAACTGGATAATTTATACTATACCAGAATTTACACACTAATACAATGCTTGAGTCCTGTTCTGTGGACCCTTTCCATCATGAAAGTGTCCTCTGAGATCAATAACCCCCTGTGCAGGAATACTTGCCACTGCTGGGAGGTACCTCTGTGAAATTAGCAGCAGAAAACCTCTGTTTCATTATAATCCATCTTACACTCTTCCAGGACATAAACAGTTCCACTCCACAGTCCTTTAATTGCCAAGTAAAGATTTCTGTGTGAATTTTTCACCACTAAATTGGTGAAGGGCTTAGAGGGGAAGCCGTATGAGGAGAGGCTGAAGTCATTTGCTTTGTTCAGCCTGGAGAAGAGGAGACTGAGAGGAGATCTCATCACAGTCTATAACTTCCTCACAAGGTGTACAGGAGGGGCAGGTGCTGATATTTTCTCTCTGGTGATCAACGATAGGACCCAGGGAAATGTCAGGAAGATGGACCAGAGCAAGTTTAGGTTGGACATTAGGAAAAGGTTCTTCAGGCAGAGGGTGGTGGAGCACTGGAACAGGCTCCCCAGGGAGGTGGTCATGGCACCAAGCCTGACAATATTCAAGAAGCATTTGGACAAGGCCCTCAGACACATGGTCTGAATCTCGGGATTGTTCTGTACAGGGACAGGAGTTGGACTCGATGATCCTTGTGGGTCCCTTCCAACTCACAACATTCTATGATTCTATGATTTTATTCAGATTCCTAGCAGATCCCTGGCTTCTATGTACCACGAAACTCTCGAGTAATTCAGTTAGATTTGAAAACCTGAAGCAAGTCTACCAAGCAAAATGCTGAGGCACTCACAAAGAAAGCATCCAGTACCCTATCATCTCCAGCATTAGCTTTTAGAAAGACTTTCCCACGGTCAAAAGATTCTGCTTTTGTTGTATTAGTCATTGCACAAATGTTTGGAAGATACATAAACTGGTTAGTGCATAATAGCTTAATCTTCACAAGGCCAAATTCTTCCCAAGGGTGGAAAAACAACGACAGCAATTGGAGTCCCCTCCATGCGGACAGAACCGGCAAATGTTATCCCCAGGCTACACAGTACAGACAAAGGTTGCTTAGTGTAAAACACATTGCTCCCAGCTCATCTCAGCACTCAAAGGATACACGTAACATCAAGCTCACAGATGCTCCCATTCACTTCTATGGACAGCCTCATACTTAGAAACATAACTGGGCCGTTAAAGCCTCTTTTATTTTGGGACCTCATCACCCTGTTTCTTGCAGGATTAAAACCACAGTGTGGTAAACCCAAGATTTCTTTCTCTCAGCTCCTTTCTTCTCCCTCTTCAATAGTTAAGAGAGTAGCAATAGTCTCTGCAAGCATGGCTGAGGGTTGGAGACTGCCATCCCCTGTAAACACGAAGCACAAATACCTGGTGGCAGAGACACAGCACATACCTGATCCTTTGCTGGTACCAGCAGTTCTTCAATCATCATGCTGTCTCGGGCATAAGAACTTCTGTTCAGCGTGTAGGACCTATCCGAACTGAAGGAGCGGAGGCTGTTGTATTTACCATTTATCATAGAAAGTGCAGATGACAATGAGATGAACAAAAAATAAAAATAAAAAAAATTAATACATGCAACTTCCAGGGATAGCATAAGATGGCAAAATATACATAATCTGTGAAAGAAATACAAGGGGAAAAAATGGAATAATAAGTATTTGACTATAGTTAAATATCCCTTTTCCTACAAGATGCATAAGCAAAATCACAACAGAAGTTTACTGCTTTGGCAGTAATAAGGCCAGAATAAATCCAGAAAAGTGTATTCAAGTATTTAGATTAACTTTGATAAATGTTTTCACACCCTAATCCTGAAAGGAGACCCATGAGGGCAGGTCCTGGTGGAGCTGTGGGTAAGTTATGGTGCCTGCCCATATGGCTCAGATTGCTGAAGCAGGTTTAATTAAGAGCATGTTTTATGTGTTGTCATTCTCTTTGTGGCTGAACCACTTTTGATTTTGTTATAAACACCTTAATTATTCATTTAGTTAGAAAAAAGGGTAATTTTGAAATGAAAGAAGAAAGAAATTTGCTTATTGATGATTAAAAATGGATTCCAATGCTCTGGGAATTATTTTGTGCATGTTGACCTGTTTAGAAATAGCTACTATCACTCTGAATGTGTTGCAATTAAAACAACGTAGGAGTGTGTTACACTTAACCCTGGAAGATACATTATGGTATGTGCTAAAAACATGCTGCAGGCCTAGACATGCTTGCTACGTGACAAAAAATAAAGTAGTAAAAAATGTGAATTAATAAAAAGCGACATCCGACAACATATTACACTTTTGAACTAGCAACACTGTTCAGACTTAAAACTCTACAACTTGTTTCATGCATTTTGTAGTTGTTAATGAAACTTTTCTAGTCCCTTAGCACACAGTCCTCCTTGTGCCAGAAGGATCTTAAGTACACGCTGTAGGCATATGTTAAGTGGACTTTTACATGATAAAGGGCATAAAGAAACCAAGTTATATTTGTTAGAACAGAGGGATATTCTCAAAGGCTGACCCCACCCCCCACTCATCCGAAAATAAAAGCATGTCACTTTCCAATGCTGAAGAAAATGAAGATGAGTAATGGCAGCAGCAGAAAGATGTAACACAATGCCATGCCTTCTTACCTGACTTTTGGACTAAAGCAATTTACAGTGGAAAAGAAACAGGAGAAATAGAAAGCAAAGAATCAGACGGGAAAAGCAAGATGTTGTGGCTGGATGGCATATATATTTAATGTGTTTATTTCTTAATGTTACACTCAGAATCAGTAGTAAGATACATCTACAGAATACTTTTTGCTAAATAATATACTTCACAGGGAAAACGCTTTATTCTTCTCCTCTGAGCATAACATGTGCAATGTAAAAAATGAGGTACGCAGCAACAAATAGTAATGGCACTGCTAAACTCAGAAGCATGGGAATATTAGATTTCTCTCAAAGAAAAGATAACACGAGGTTGGACCCTCAGATCTACCTAAGAGATCTTGACTGTGAAATTCTGCTCTCCCACCTGCACAGTGAGAAATTAGACATGTGCAGGAAGAGTGCTGTAATGAGTAAAAGGTGCCCTGTAAATCAGTGCCCCGCTCTGTACACAAAGCGTGCTCCCTCTCCACCATCACTGCAATGCTTCAGGACTGACCACATCTGATAGTGCTGTACAATGAGCTGGCTCACGCCAACTACTGTTTAAAAGCAGCACATCAGCTTTGTTAATTAAGTTTACAAAGACATAAGATTCTCCCTTCAGATCTGTTTTGATGATTTTCTAGGTAATGGACTATTTAAACATGTTTTGGCATTCCTTGTGAATGTATTATTACATAAATACTTATTAACTTACCTAAAAATTGTAAGTGAAGCAAAATATGGCTGGGCACTACTAAAGAGCAAATTTGCACTGCGTGCTTGCATTTCTAATGTGACTGTAACAAACAAGACTGAAGGGTAGACATCTAAGCTTTACCTTATGGGAGTTGCCATTCACTGTTAGACAATGAACTCACTTTTTAAAACAGATCTTTAAACTACAGCATAGGAAAAAGTCCTCAGGGCTTCAGCTTATGAGGTTTAATTATTAGCTTCAGTACGATTCAACTGTCAGTAAATACATTGCAAATCCACAACTATGGAAGTAATCTCTGCTCATACAGCTTTAATTGTTTTGAGCAACACACAGTGCATGCTTTAGCAAGATTCCAAAATGAAATCTAAAGTGTTGATCTAGAAACACCTGAGTTGAAATCAACATTAGTCAGATATTATATTAAATTTACAATATTTTAGCAGGTTCATTGAAATCTTGGTCTGTTTTCTGTAACTCCCTGTCAAATGAAATGCTACAGCAAATTTAGGGTACATTCTTTTTAATTTTTAGGAGCATTTTTCTTTGATATTGGCTATCTCAGTTGGATTACCCACTAGCACCTTTAAAGAAATAAAAGCTTCAAAATAGCAAAATGACTGTCATTCAGTTTTTCTGGCATTTACATTCTTCAGCTAAATTAGTCCATTAAGGAATACTCTAATGTGAGTATCAATCTGACCAGCGGCAGTGAAAAGAAACCTGGTTTTGCTGGCTATTCTAGGTCAGTTTCTAGACCAGTTGCAATCTGCTAGCAAAGAGGTGCCTTGGAGATGTTCAGAGCACGATAAGATACCAGAAAAAGCGAATAGTTAGTTTTCTGTATTGTTGCCATAAGAAGCCAACGTGAATAAAGAATATGAAATAAAACTGCAATGAACATATGCTTTAAAGGCGCAGTACCACTGTAACATGGAAGTACACCCCTTCTACTTCGTTTTGAAATAGACTCCAGCTTTATGTGGAAGAGTGCACTCGGTTTGTAAAAACTTGTAACTGTGGTGACACACAAACATGAAAAACAGCAAATACAATACCTGGCAGAGCGGGCTCCCAGGCTAAAGCCCATGTATCCTTCAGCAGGCAAAGAATCATCTCCCAGCTCTTTCAGATCCTGGGGTCCAAGGTATTTGTCCGTATCACCTGTCATTGCATCCTCACCTGCCAGTACAAAAGCCAGGCTGAAATCAGAAGCTACATGTATTGTAAATGTTTGTGTGCTTAGTAAGTAATAACGCCCTTCTCTGCTCGCCAACAAGGAATCAATCCCGTCACCCCCACTTTCCCTAAGGCTCTTTCCATGTAAAACGTCAATTATCCACCCTCTGAACAGGCCTGAGAAAATAATTTTATTGAGGGCAAATGTAAGAAGCAAAAGTCCACCCTGACATAAATCCAATAAAGTTATACGAGGGGTGACTTTTGCCCAATCGCTGGAGCATGCTTCTGTACTTTGCACCATTGCACTCATTTTTGCTTCCCTTACCAAAAAGCCGGAGCTGGCAAACTAAAGTTAGGTTATTCTGTAGGCAAAAAAACCCCCCAAACCAACTAAACAAACCACTTGGCTGTGAGAGACAGCTTGGTCACCCACCAGTACTGAAAAGCGACGCAAGCTTGAACGGACGCCGAGTAAGAGAACAGGTTCCACCTTAGGTATTTCTCAGTAACTTTTGCAAGTTTGAATGTAAGAGGGATTACTATTTTTTTTTTTTTTTTTTTTTTTTTTTTTCCCCCATGAACTGCGTCAGGCTCCGGGGTGATTTCCTGAAGGTAAGTGCTCCACTCTCTCTCCCCCGGGAGCAGAACAAAGCGCCTGGCAAGGCGGAGGGGGTGACCCCCGGCACCGGCCGGCGGGGCTCCCTGGACACCGGAGGAGAAGCTGACGGTTAGTGTTCTTCGGAAAAATGGAAGGAAGGCAAGTTAAATCTTCGGAGAGGAGGGCAGATGCCGCAAAGGGTTAAGGGAGCAGCATTTGCATACCATTACATCATGCAAACCCCACATTCCTGTGCTGACAGAGCAAGTCCAAAATATGCCTTTTGCGGTTGGAGGATTTTTTTTCCCCCCTGTTCCCTCAACAACACAGAGCTCCCCGTAAACTCATTCCTTGCCTGCATTCACGCTCTCTGCCTTTGTTGTGAACGCATTTTAGGTGTGTAAAAGTTGCACAAGAGAGAAGTTTCCCAGCGTGCTGTGGAAGGCAAGCGACTGCGCAACCCCAGCTACACCTTCCCCGCTTTCATTCAAGGAGTTCAGCCTAGTTCCCATTCACTTAACCCAGGAAACCACAGGCGAGCTCTGGTTATAAACTAGCAATCATTTCTAAAAATACCCCCTCAGCTACTGCTTTGCAAATGGCAAACAAACAGACCAACTTTCCCCAACAACCAGTATTTCAGTAACAGTTTAAAAGCTAAAGTGTTCATAAGATACCAGAAAGCATTAAAAAAAAACCCCAACAAAACAACAAAAACAAAACCCCAACCAAACCAAACAAAAAAACCCCAATCAAACCAAAACCAAAACAAAAAACCACCCAGAAACAGAAACATTATATATTAAGTTAAACTTTAAAAAGTCTTACTGTTTTGGAAAGCCATTTTCACCAGTCTGGTCTATAAGAATTATTTTCCTGATGTTTCCAGGAATTCCTATTAGTCCTATTAGTCCTTAAACAGTGATTTAGAGTTAATCTCCAAACCAGCCCAAGCAAACTAATCCCTGCGGGTCATATTCGCTTTCCACACAACAACTGAGATCTTCTTAACATCTTGATCTCTTCGCATGTGTTTTAGGACATGTGTATCTTTGTCCTCCCAACTCAGATCAAAGTTCTTTGCAAATAAGAAATAAAATGAAAAATAATGACTACAGTTAAAAAAAAATAAAAAAAAAATCTCCTTTTAATCACTCTGCAGACATCCCTTTAAAGCTTCTGCTGATTGGATTAGAGCCTCCCTCGGCAAGCCCCTGGCCCGGTGACAGCAGCGCCGGCACTCCGGTTATTTGTATGTAAATAGGGGCGCTGCGAGGGTGTCGAGTTTCTGTAACC